GCGCTGGCCGCGGCGCTCATGCAGGGCGCGGCCGGCGCGTGGGTGTGCACCCGCTTCGTGGCGTCGGAGGAGGCGCATGCGTCGGAGGCGGCGAAGCAGGCGATTCTGGACTGTGGGTTTGGCGGCACGGAGCGCACGCTCGTGCTCACGGGCCGGCCGCTGCGGATGCGTGCCAATGACTATATTCGCGTGTGGCACGCCCGGCCGGACGAGATTGAGCGGTTGTGCGCTCAGGGCGTGGTGCCGATGGACCAGGACAACGAGGAGGGTAGGCCGGTGGATATTCCGGTGTTGATGGGGGAGGTGGCCGGCGCGATTACGGATATTCAGCCGGCGGGAGTGATTGTGCAAAATATGGTCAAGGAAGCAACGGAGATGCTCCAACTTGGGGGCGTCTATCTTGGGCAGCGCAGCAAGCTGTAATTTACGTCATCATTTCGTCGCATAGCATGAGTTTATCGTTCAAGTGGTTACTCTTAATGCTGCCCACAGTCAGCAGTTGGCGTTGCGGTTCTTCTTCAGCGCCACTCTCGTGCTAATAATACAGCATGTGTGCTGGTAAACCTCGTAACTGAACAGGAGTATTTTATTGGAGATGCAAAGGAAAAAAGGGTCATATTCCCCGCTAAATTCACAAACTATATAGCGGCACCTACAGTCTTGCAGACTGCTGCCGCGGGCTGTCGCAGTACCGTGTAAGCTGCCAGGCCAAGTCGGCCATTGGGTTCTTGATCGCCGCGTACGCAGCGACCTGCTCGCTGCCCGCCTGGCCCGTGACCATGCGGGCCTCTATGCCCTGCGCCAGGATCGCCGTCTTCCAGGCGCCAAACGCGATGCCAAAGTCGACGTCGGGCGTCGGGTCGTAGCGGCCGTAGCGCGCGTACCAGGCGACAATCTGCTCCGGCTGCGGCATGCCCGGGGTGCGGCCGGGCAGCAGGCTTGAGAGGTCGTACGGTGACGCGCCCGCGTGTCGGGCCATGTAGAAAAAGGTAAAGAGGCTGCAAATGTCGGACAGCGGGTGGCCAATGGTCGACGTCTCCCAGCTAAGACGGCGTCGCGTGTTAGTCGGTGTGCGCCCGTGTCTGCCAGTAAGAATTCAGGTTTACGTACTCTAAAACGCCAATCACACGCGGTTCCGTCTTGTGGAATACAAGGTTGTCGATTCGGTAGTCGCCGTGCACGATGCAGGACCGATCGCGCGGCTGGACGCTCCCATTCTGGAAGAACTGCACGCACTCTGCGTAGTGCGGCAGCGATCCGAGCGGCTGCTGGGTCTCTGGGTTGACCACTTTGGACTGGCTCGCGCAGATGGCGTCAAACGAGCGAATCTGGCGCTGGTAGAACCCGCCAGGCTTGCCGAAGCGCTCGAGTCCGACTTGACGGGGGTCAATGGCGTGCAGCCTGGCCAGCGTCCTGGCCGCCTCCTCCCAGATGGCCGTCCGCTCCTCGGGGGTGACGCCGGGGACGCCGACGTCGGCAAAGATGCGGCCGTCGAGAAACTCCATGATGTAAAAGGGCGTGCCGATGATGGACGCGTCCGCGCACAGGACGTAGGGCTTGGGGACGGGCACGTCGGTGCCGGCGAGCGCGGCGAGAACCTGGTATTCGCGGTCGATGCGGTGCGCGTGCTGGGATATTTGCGTCCCGGGCGGGCGCTTGCGCAGGACATATCGCTGGCCGTCGGCTGCGGTGATTAGGTATGTCGGGTTTGACTGGCCATGTTTGAACTTTGGGGTAGGTCTGGTCAGTTGGAGGGACTTGGGTAAAGGCGACGCCAAAGTGATTCATACTTGCTTCAGTTCAATTGGAGTAGCAATCTCTGGCACGTTTTCTCGCAAGAAACCTTGCAGCGCAGCTTCGTCAATCTTTTGACGTACTATACCAGCCATGATGAAAGATGTATATGGTGAAGACGGTATAGGAAACAGGTGGACTGAGACAATCTCGTTCAACTAAATACTCTATCGAGTCCCTACAAACTACACCCCCACCAGTGTACGACGCGATGGTGACATGAATGCTCGAGTCTCTACAAACTACACCCCCCACCGTCAACGACGCCACGCTGCACGCGACACCAGCTCGCACAGTCCCCGAGGCTAGCCAAACGAACCACAAGAACCGCTTGAAACACCTTGTTGTAAGTAGCCATGAGCCGACTTTGGCGAGCTCGGTAGTTGTCGTGGGGGTGTATGATAGATTGATGGTGGAGGCGGCTACTCCATAGCTCGTGCCACATGTAGTGGATTAGAGTTGGACTCCATCGGAATGAATTCTTCAATAATTAACTAGGGATATTATGACTCCATATTGAGTGCTTCACCCAATCTACCTGCTTAACTTAGATTAACCCATGTTATAGGCAGATAGGCACCCACCAAGTATGTCGCGCAAAACCATCTCCGTCACCGCGCTCCCGTCTTGGCCTCCATCGAGTTTCTAGCCACCGAGGGTGAAGGAAAGGCTCTGATTCAGCTTGTAGTAAGCCCCGGTCCGCGATCCCGATGACAGCCACCAAGCCGGAGCCGGCGCGCGAACCCCGTCCACAGCGTCTTTTTTCCCGGTTTTCTTGACAGACTCGGGTATGACATGACATGAGACGGCATTTTCGTGCGACAACTGGCCTCGGATCAGCCACCAACACCACCCAAACCAGGGCGATGAACCAAACGGGGCGCCGTGACGGATAGACTATCCCCTTTGAGGGAAACGGTGCCGGCGTCCGCACACCCCCCTCCGCACTATAGTAGCGAGGGGCGATGCGACGAATGCCGCAAGCCACGCGGAACGCCGAACGGCCTTGCTCCGACGCCACCCGTCTTGCCCGCTTCGGGAATCTGGTCTCGTGAAGATTTGCCAACCCTGCCAAGGAAACCCCCATCGCCGAGAGAAAGCACATGTCAACAACAGGGGAGGTAAAACAATAATAAAAAGAAAAAAATACTTGAACCCGTGTTTGTGGGGGTCCTATATCAGCGTCGTACGGAGCATTGGGAATCAGACCGACCGAGTAATAAGTCCTTGCGGGCCCCGGACGAGGTTGCCAACCACGAACAGGTCCGTGGGGCTTCCGCTTATAACATTTCCATTGCTGGCTCCTCTCTGGTATTCGCAAATTTTCCGTTCCTGCCTCTCTTTCTTTCCCTTCTTCAACTGCAAACGTAATTCTGTCCCGAACAATGTCGCACGCGGAAAAGGTTGTCGGAACCGAGGCTTCGGCCTTGCCTTTGGACAACAACAACACCACCACCAGTGCGCGCGTGAGCTCCCAGCAAGAGCTGTCCGACTCTGAAAAGGCAGCGGCGGCGAGCCCGTCACCGCCGGCGCCGCCAGACGGCGGCACGACGGCGTGGCTTGTCGTCCTCGGCGGGTGGTGCACCGCGTTTTGCAGCTTCGGCTGGCTCAACAGCATCGGCGTCTTCCAGCAGTACTACCAGAAGGAGCTTCTGCGCGGGCAGAACGCGAGCACCGTCTCGTGGATCCCCTCGCTGCAAATCTTCTTCATCCTCGGACTGGTAAGGCGAAATGTTACCCTGCCCAAAAAAAAACGTGTAGGTTGCTGACCTGGGCGACCGGTAGGGGCCTGTTGTCGGCACGCTCTTTGACCGGTATGGGCCGCGAGGCCTGCTCTTGGTTGGCACGCTGATGCACGTCTTTGGCATCATGATGGCGAGCATCAGCACCAAGTACTGGCAGATCCTCCTCGCGCAGGGCGTCTGCTCCGGCATCGGCGTCTCTGCCGTGTTCCAACCGCGTATGTTGCCCCCCCCCCCCCCCCCCCTCCTCGCTTGCTTCGACACCTTGCTTGGACAAGTCTACTAACCTCACAGCAGCTCTGAGCTGCGTCGCCGGGTACTTCCACAAGAAGCGCGGCGCCGCGTTTGGCATCCTCTCGACGGGCGCGTCGGTCGGCGGCGTGGTGTGGCCGATCATGGTGACGCACCTGATCCGGCTCGTGGGCTTCGGGTGGGCGATGCGGACCTGCGCCTTTGTCAACCTCGCGCTGCTGACCATTCCCAACGTGACGGTGCGCTGCTTCCAGCCGCCGGTCCCCAAAAAGGTCACTGGCGCGCAGCTCGCGCAGCCCTTTCGCGAGGTCGACTACCTGCTCGTCGCCGCCGGCTTCCTCTTCCTCACGTACGGCGTCTTCGTGCCGCTCAACTACCTGCCGGTGCAGGCGGCCAGCGCGGGCATGGACCCGAACCTCGTGCAGTACCTGCTGCCCATCCTCAACGGCGCGTCCCTCTTTGGCCGCCTCTTTGCCGGCTTCGCGGGCGACCGGATCGGCCGCTTCAACATCCTCGTCGGCTGCTGCTACCTCTCGGGCGTCTGGATCCTCGCGCTCTGGCTCGCGTCCAGCAGCCGGCCCGCGCTCGTCGCCTTTGCCGCCCTGTTTGGCTTCTCGTCGGGCGCGTACATTTCGCTCGTCACGCCCGTCGTGGCGCAAATCTCGCCGCTGCCGGAGATTGGGTTTCGCACCGGTATTGTGTTTTTTGTGGCCTCGATTGGCGGCCTCACGACGAATCCCGTCAGCGGCGCGCTGATTGACAGCGCCGCGGGCTACCCCGGCATGAAGATCTTTGCCGGTGTTCTCTGCCTGGTGGGAACGACGTTTATCTTGGTGGAACGGGTGCGGAAGACGGGGCTGAAGTTTTTAGTTGCTTTCTAGGGTGCTGTGGAATTGTGAGCAAAAGGGACTCATCGGCATAGTAGGATTCTGGACTCGGTCGCTGCTAGCGGAGCATTCATTTACAGCCGGAAACTGAAAACATAATCACATTTATCCAAGTAACTATTTTTGTCCCGTTTTGACACTGTTGAGCTCGCCTCGTGACTGGCCAACTTCCGAAGTCGCCCACAACGTTGTCCGGAACGTCGGTGAGGCGAGGCCGACGATGCCGGGCCGGCACGGGATGAGGCCATAGATGCGCCACGCGCCTGCAGCCACGCTGCGTCGTGTCCATGCGGGATCAGTCTAGATTCCGCTACTACACGCTTAAACCGGGCGTTGCATAATACTCGCAGTGCCACTTATATTCGCCAGCAGCCAAGCACAACCCGCATAACAAGTAAGGCGGCCATGCACCGGGTGGCGCACTGGGCGGGCGGTTCGCACGGCACTCCAAGTCGATAGATCACTCTCTCACCTCCGCCCTTTGGGGGGCGGGCAACTGTCACTATTATACAAATTGGCAAAGTGGAAAAAGCAGTTGCCGCTGTCTAGCGCGTTCAGCCTCCCGCGAACCAGCCCAATCGAGAATTCGACTCCGCCAGCTGAATCCCCCGGGGCGGGTTGGCCACGCCGTTCTGGCATCAACTACTCGGGCATATATATCGTGGTCCTCGAGCACCAGACTGCAACTTGCGACCAGCATTTCCCATCCTTCAAAACAAAACTCCCACAAATCTCTACACCACCAACCTCTCTCCTCACAGCATGCTCGCCAAACTCCTCTCGGCCGTCTTGGTCCTCGAGCTTGTGCTCGCCAGTCCGGTGCAGGACCTGCAAAGCCTGGAGAAGCGCTGCACGGCCGTCGGCCAGTCGTGCCGCAACGGACAGACCTGCTGCGCGAATTCGGCCTGCGCCTACACCAACTCCATCTGCACCGCGTTCGGCTCGGCCGGCCAGTACTGCGGCAACGCCGTGCCGTGCCAGGCGGGCCTCGCCTGCAGCACGTCGGCCTACTGCACGCCGTACGGAAAGAAGGGCGCGTACTGCGGAAACGCGGTGCCCTGTGTATCGGGTCTGAGCTGCCTGTGGCCCAGCTACACGTGTGGTTGAGGGCAAGGATTGGGCGGGAATCGAGTGCAGGGGGACAAGAATGTGACATACTGGGTGGATGGAAAATTGAAGCATGCATAAACGGAAGGTCTTGCATCAATCTATTCGGGAGGAACCGCACGCAACAAACAGAAAATAGTACGCGCAATACTTGCTTGTCTGAGTGACATATTCCGTTCCCCGCTGCTGTCCTCTGCTAGATATCGGTCGGCGTCATTAGCTTTGTTTAGACATTTAAAAAAGGGATATTTGAGTTGATAAGAGTATTAAGTAATATTTATTAAAACAGTCGGTGGTAATCATGACGGCATATACATACATACACGGCGGCCTCTTCATCGCCCCAATTACACAGTACACCAGACTCGCCTGGTACAGCTTCCATCTCCTCCTAATCCATACATGATAGGCTTGGCCCCTCCAACTCATCTCGTCGATTCCTTTTTCGCCAAGGCCAGGATTCTCTCCGCGCCCTTCTCACCCGCGACCATGACCGCAAACTGCGGATTGACCGTCATCGGCGACAGGACCGAGGCGTCCACGACATGAATATTCTCCGTCCCCACGACCTTTGTGTCGGCATCCACGCACTTTCCGATGCGGCAGGAGCTGGACCAGTGGTTAACCTGTCCGCGCGCATACGCCGAGGGCGTCGTCAGGTACTGCTCAATGTCCTCAACGGTGGCGTCGCGCGCAATGTTGCGCGGCGTCAGGCCCGTGGCGGCCGGCGCGTCAGGCGTCGACGCCGGCAGGGACTGAAAAATATCATGCACAAACGTGGCAATGGCGTGGGCGTCGCGCGGGTGCGAGTAGTACGTGTCGGCGCTCGCGCCGGCCACGAACCGGCCGTCATCGGAGAGCTCGACGCGGCCGGCGGAGAGCAGGCCCGAGGTACCGTACACATTGAGCGTGACGGTGTGGTTGTCCATGTACGCGGCGTAGCCCGTGGAGCTTATGGTGCCCTGCACGCCGGAGCGGGTGCCGTCCTCGTGCGGCACGTACGTCCAGAACGTGGCCGCCTGCGATGCAAAGGTGTAGTGTCCGCTTCTCGCGTTCAGGTAGAGGTCCTTGTCCTCTGTGTCGGGGTCCTCGTACTTGTAGTTGTATGACTGCATGACCGGGGAAGATAGCTGGATAAAGGTGTTGGGGTTGTCAAAGAGACCCTCCCCTACCCAAGGCTGTACAACCCAGGACGAGGATGCCGTGTAGGCGCCAAAGGAGCTGTCGGATAGTTTCTGCAGAGTCTCTTGGGGGCCAATTCCCGAATGCATGAGGATCTGAGGCGACTGGAGTGCGCCAGCGCTAAGGATAACGCGGCCGCCCGGCTTCAGGCCAACAGACTTTGTCGTGCCGTCTAGTTCCACGTCAACGCCAGACGCTTTTCCGCCTTGATGGTTGACCTGCTTGACCCTGACCGCAGTAGCAAGATGGAAATTCGGGCGCGAAAGCGCGCTCTGGAGATACGTCCGCACCGGCCCTCCCCTCTGGCCATCAATGTAGTTGAAGACGGGCCGGCCATACACCTTGTCCTTCCTGTCCGGCTCGTCCGCGAACGAAACGTCGGCGTATCCGGCACCGTCCACCAGCCAGCCCCTGGCCGCGTCCTGGATGTCTTCCACATAGGACCTCTTGTCCGAGGAATAGTCTGTGACGGCCGGCTGCCGCTGCAGGAGCCGCTCGGTCGCGCCTTGCACGTCGGCGCTGTGCCAGCCGTCCGGGTGGTAGTCGTCCCAGTCCGACGCCGGCGGCTGAAAGTACAGGCCGGCATTGATGGCGCTGTTTCCGCCCACGGTGCAGGCCTGGTATGCCCGGACGGCATCGGGCTTGCAAATCAAGCTTGAGTCTGCGCTGCCGAAAATGGTAGAGTCTGGCACCCGTCAAAAGTCAGCAACAACTCTTTCGCAAAAGACAATGAGCGGCTTACACAATCCGGGCACGTCAACGCGACTCAGGTCTGTGCCATTGAGCCAGGACGGACGCTCAGTGCCGCCCGTGATGCCGTAGGATGCGCCGCCTTGCTCAAGAAGCAATGTCGTTAGGCCCGCCTCGCTGAGTCTGTCGGCAACGATGATGCCTGCGGGACCTGCGCCGACAACAATGGCATCCCACTGTTGCAGGGTCCAATCTCTCGGTATTGGGCAAGCGTTGGCCAGCGCCGCTAGGAATATCGCAATTGAGTACTTCATGATAGGATATACCGGTGTGATCAAGGTTCTTGGGCGTTTTCACCATCATAGACGTGCCTTCCTTTATACACGATGGGCTTCGGCCGCTTTGAAGGAGGAGCGACGTTCAGAAATACTGGCCTGGCGACGTCATGCCAAGGCGACTGTTCTGACGGCCCACTGCCACCATTCGCCTCACCGGAGAATTTCCTTTTATAGATCGAAAGTGCTCGTATTGTCCCAGTTTCCTGGGTCCCTGCACCCACAATTACGACTATGCCCTCGTTCACTCACTGTCTATACGCTAGCTCCGAGTTGGTGTGGCAGGCGCAGGGCTGAAAGGCGTTGGCTTGGCGATCTGAGAGACGCGTTGAGAGAAGCGCCGCAACAACATCTTTATCCAACATCGGGCAGAGGCCTTCCTTTTAATCCTAGATCAGGCAAGGGCATTCCAGCTATGTCCAAGACCATGTCGCACATGATATGATTGCTTGTTTCATGATTGGCCAACCAGAGGGATCGTGAAGCTGTTTTAGCTTAACCCAGAGTCTAGCAGTAAGTGGAGATGCAGCGCTCGGACATTCCAGCTTTCAAGACTACTGGGTAGGTTTCCAAGTTTCCTTATGCATGCAGCGCAGTTGAAAACGAGGTGCGAGTGAACAAGCTTCCGCAGCGCATGATCACTGTATACGAATACAGCCGCGTTCTGATACGTAGAATCTCGTAGCTGAGGTGTGACGAAACTGGCATGTCGGCTGTGCTTGGTTAATATAGTAACAATGTTTTAACAATGGAGGCGACGCTTGTCGATCACTTCGGGGACCCTGCAGCCCCAAGTAGGGCTGAAGTCTGCTGCTGAGGAGCCTGACGAAAAATAGTCGCCTCCAAGAAATGATTGACGACTCGAATCAGTCAGTCGTCTGTGTGTGTATCAGCCTTGAAATTTCGTATGCAGTTTTCTATTGCGAAGGGAGCCAATTGAGTTGGGGAAGAAATGGGCAGTCGCGACCAAGACTGTGGCGAAATCTAGCTCCGGTATTAATAGGCTCGCTGTTCTGGGTGAGGCAAGCGCTGACTAAATAAAAGATACCATGCAATAACCAGGATGATCGAGAAACAAGACAGACCGAGGTACAAATTAGATGAAAAGGAACTAGCAAACACCACACGCGATAACCCGCTGGCCATCTCCCATTCCGGATCTAAGATGCTGCAATAGGTGGCCGTACTAATAAAAGATTCTAGGGTAGTTAACTATGTACTGTATCCCACCTCAAGCTGAATGGTGAAACGACAGCTGCATGAAGCCATAAATGCTGGCGGGGTTTCCCAATTCCCATCTTTAGCAGTCATTGCATAAATGGGATCACTGTCATTGGTAGTGCCGAGTACAGAAAATAATCAATACATTCTGATACGGCAGCCGGCCAATCACTCATCGGGCCGTCGGCGACTCAGGTCGCGTGAGGCCGGCTCGTCACACGTAGCTGATGGATTTAGTGATGCTCATTGGCAACCATCCATCTGCTTTGCATTCTAGCCTGCAATGCACCCTACGTTAGTCTCGATGCGAGTCGTTTGCGAGAGCTGAGGAGCGGTGCGGCAGCCACCATAAGCCGAAGCACTTGCACCGGCATATGGCCACGATGGATTAGGAAGGAGATGCGTCTGGCGGCACTTTTCTCAGATGCTATATATCGAGAGCTTGTTCCGTCACCTCATGCTCCGGCCGCTTCATTTAGAAAACTACTTGAATTATTCTCAACACATCTCAGAACGAAAACACTAACCTGTAGCAAAATGAAGAGCTTCTACGTCCTGGTCACTCTCTTGGCTGGTATCGCCATGGCCTTTCCCGCCGAGACGGCCGAGTTAGAGGTACATCTGACATCAAACGCTTGGCGCTACTATTTTATCCAATGCTGACTGGAATACTCACTCGCAGGCCCGAGGAAAAGTGAATTGATGTGTGTCCAAGTGATGCAGTGGCCACCGCTAATGACTGGCTTTGTAGTGTGTAAGTAGCGGTCCGAGAACTACATGGTCGCATCGCAATCTGACTTTTTCAAGGGCGTATGACTTCCAAATTGGAGTATTTGAATATCAAGTGACTAAAGATCTACAGAATGTGAGTGGCATAGTACCAAGATGTCGGAATAATGACTCTCACTGACGCACATTGGCACACTAGGGAAACTGCGTCAGTCTACAGCATATCCGTTTCTACTATACTCTAACATTTTCAGCCTGTCAGTGGAATGATAACGTCTGGTATATTGCCTGCTAATGTAGTACTAGGCCGTACGTGCAAGACAACGGCGCACGAAGAAACGTCTCCTTAATACTTCCATGACAGGGTGTAAGTAACGATCTCCGCATCCCCGTAACCTGTGCTAACCGCTCGAACAGACTGTAGGTGCAACACTTTTGCAGCGCAGGGTGATGACTATTTCTAACAACCTATTATAGCGAGTAAGTGGTCCGATTTTGGTTATTTTATCTCTAGCAAATGACTAATCTGTCTGAATGCAGTGCGTAAGTTGATGCTACAGGCCAACTCCAGTGCGGGCGGCTAGGCTAATCGCAGACCAGTGCGTGAGTATTTGTCTGGAACAGCAGTCATTCTCGTTTGCCACTAATCTGCATCTAGACGGTAAGTTTCAAGCTATTATCCTGGTCAACTGAGCTGATAAAATTGATAAAATGTAGAACGTATGTCGGCCTCTTAATGAACTCACTACAGTGTCTAATGGAATTATTAGTGTGTAAGTGCTGTCGACAACGCTCTCACTACTTCAGCGCTAACTTTTCTTTCCTCCAGGGCGTATGTCCTCCGTGCTCTAGTCATGTTTCTCAGCTGACCACAACATTTACGGGAGACAACAGGAAGTAAGACAAAATGTTTCCAAGGCGAGACTTCTCTAATGCGTCTCTACTCTAGGACGTATGTACATAGGTATACCTGGCAGCGTGGAGACATGGCTGAGTCAACCTTAGTTTGTAAGTCAAGTCGGAACGCCAACGAGACGTTCACTACTAAAGACCCTCTACAGCCTGTGAGTCTACAATGTCATGAATCAATATGGTGTTGTACTAAAAGCAGACAATCAAAGATTGTGAGCAGACTGTTTCAACTTGCCTGATCGCTCAACTGACCATCATAGTGCGTGAGTATTGAGCGGCATCCTTCAGTAAACATGCACTGAATACCGCATACAGAGAGTAAGTGAACGGTCTTACACCAAGAACAAATCACTAATGCATTGCCATAGAGAGTATGTGAATTAAATCAGACCGCGTTTTCGGCTTGGTGGCCGGCCTTTTATATACTGACTTGCGCAGCCCGTAAGCATGAGATTTCCGCCCACACAATACCTTGTTCTAGTGACTGAATTAGTGGCGAATTGCAGAATGTAAGTAATATTCATGACAAAAAGGTCGCTCCATTATTTTATGTCTAACTCTTTTTTAGCAAGCGGTACGTCAAGTTCGAGAGACATACTTACCGAGACGTGGATTGACAATGTGGTCTTCTCTAGTGTGTAAGTGTTCTGCGCTGCCCCAACTTTACAACTTTGACACTGACCACTTTTCAATAAATTCAGATTGTAAGTAAACGTTGGCTCAGAGATGCACACATAATCTACAGCAAGTTCCTCACGCAATCCCGACAAATCTTAGTGCGTAAGTTGTTGCACCCTGCCATCCGCAAACTGCCCAGCTCTGAACCAGATTTCTGCCCGAACTAGCCCTAGATTCCATCCGACGAGCCATTCGAGCGCGATGTTTCAGTTCACCCGGGAGGAAATGGAAGCTCACAGTCGTTGTATGGAGTTCTTCGCTGCGGCGTGTCATAGTATGCCCAGAAGTTTAAGCTCGGCCGACTGTCAGCGGGCAATGCACTGAGATGCCATTTTGGTACTGATCGTTGGATCCTATCTTTTAAAAATAAACTAAAAGAAATTGCCTTGTTTTTATCAGAACACTGAGCTTGTGCATCTTCAGTAAAAAGTCGCCCGATTGTACAACAAACCTGGGCTGTAACAAGCGCAATTGGACAAAACGGGGAGAAGCATCGTGGAAATCGTTGAGGATGGCGCCCTTTTAAAACTTGGAGGGTCATTCATGGCGCTTCTTCTCTCGCAGGTATTATCGTTATTCTCTGAATTGAGACTTGTCCTTCTTCGAGCCAATGGAGAAGGGGTTCATGTTCAAGCTACGTATGTACTTGTGGAAACAAGCAGTGATACAGAGTAATCAGGACTTTTGCTCAGCTCTATACTACCATTTTTGGTATGTAAAACTACAGGGATTAAAAATGTGGCTTCAATAAATACAATAAATAGGGTAGATCAATCATGACCGGTCCATCTTTCGGGAGTTCACAGCCTGATCCCATTTTCATTGAACTGGCACGCCCTTCAGGCTGCAAACACAAAGCAACGCTCCATTACCTTTTATTCTTCATTATGATACATTCATCATGTTGACAGCAACAATATTTATTAGTCAACAACCACTTCATCGCGGCGTGGGGGCTCCGTCATCGTGCCGTGCTACTATAATTAGGCGGCGAACTTCCCCGCATTGCGGCCGTACCTCGTTGATCCTACATCGCCATACCCGCCATCATGGTATTCAAGTCTGGGCAAGCCGCCATCTCATGTGCGTATACCTTCCTCCATCCACCCATCTCACGATCCGCTGACCAACTCTACCTATTCTCCCACGATAGATCCCCGGGACCAGACCGTCTGGCACTGGCTCTTCGCATCCGGCCGGGCCGACCCGAGCACCACCTCGGCGGCGTCCCCGCCCGGCTTCACTGATGTGACGACGCAGCGGCACCTGACCTTTGCGCAGGTCGAGACGTACGCGACGCACCTGTCCTCAGCGCTAGTCCGCTCGCACGGGCTGCGCGCCGGCGACGTCGCGCTCATCTTCAGCAAAAACTCCATCTACTTTCCCGTCGCCGCGCTGGCCGCCGTGCGCGCCGGCGGCATCGCCTGCGGCGCCTCGCCCGACTACACCGCCGCCGAGCTGGCGCACACCCTGCGGCTCAGCCGCGCCCGCTTCCTCTTTGTCGGGCCCGAGGTGCTGGCGACGGCGCTGGCGGCCGCCGCCGCGTGCGCGCTGCCCGCGGACAACATCTTCCTGATTGACGGCCGCCGCGGGGACGCGGTGCGCGGCGTCGACGAGCTCATCGTCCAGGGCAGCAGGGCCGGAGAAGTGCCGGCGTGGACGCTCCCGCCGGGCACGACCAACCGCGACGTGTGCGCGTACTACGGCTTCAGCAGCGGCACCACGGGCCTCCCCAAAGCGGTCATGATCTCGCACGCCAACGTCATAGCGCAGTGCCTCCAGATGCAGCCCATCACGCTGCCCGACCACGACAAGTTCCTCGCCGCGCTGCCGTTTTACCACATCACCGGGCTGATCCACCAGTTCCACCTGCCGATTCTGCTGCGCGCCAACGTCTTTGTGCTGCCCAAGTTCTCGCTGGAGCTTGCGCTGCGCACCATTGCCGAGTACAAGATTGTCGAGGTGCTGTTCGTGCCGCCCATTGTCATCCGCGTCGTGCGCGAGCCCGAGCTGGTGGGCAAGTACGATCTCTCGCACGTGCGCCGCTTCTCGTCGGGCGCCGCGCCGCTGTCGCAGGAGATCCTGACGGCGCTGGAGAAGATGTTTCCGGGCACCGGGTTCAAGCAGGCGTACGGCATGACGGAGTCGTGCTCGGTCGTCACGTCGCATGTCCCGGCCAACTACGACTACAAGTACGCGTTCAAGGTCGGGCAGCTGGTGGGCTCGACGGAGCTGCGCCTCGTGGACCCGGAGACGGGCCGGGAGTGCGGCGTCGACACGCCGGGCGAGCTGTGGGTGCGCGGTCCGCAGGTCACCATGGGCTATCTGGATAACCCGACCGCGACGGCCGAGACGTTTGACGCCGACGGGTACCTGCACACGGGCGACATTGGCATGATGGACGCCGAGGGCTTCGTGTCCATCACGGACCGCATCAAGGACATGATCAAGGTCAAGGGCGTCAGCGTCGCACCGGCCGAGCTCGAGGACTTGCTCCTGGGTCATCCCCTGGTTAAGGATACAGCCGTCTGTGGCATCGCCGACGACCGCGCGGGCGAGAGGCCCAAAGCATACGTGGTGCTGCAGGACACGGCCCCGTCGGCGGAAGAAGCGGGCAAGGCACTGCTGGAGTTTGTCAGATCGAACAAGGCCAGGCACAAATGGATTGTCGAAGTCGAGGTGGTGAATACAATTCCAAAGAGCGCGGCGGGAAAGATTTTGCGCAGGAGGCTTCGCGACAGATCGGCAATTGAGTCGGTTGCCGTCGTCCGTGAAGACCGGACGCAAGCCAAGCTCTGATACGTCGGCCGGCATTCGCTGGTTGCATATCAGAAAGCTACGATGTATTTCAGATTGTAGTTGAGTTGCCAATTCATACTGTATGCTGCACATATATATACATATATTCCAGTCTGTTTCTGGATATAGAAGTTCAAGTGTTAAGGCTCCAATATATAGGGAAGATTTCAAGACTTGGAAGAGCAGGAATTATTCATAAATCTAATTCATCACTTTCGAAAGCATTCACCTCTCTAGAGCGGACTGTACGAGTGCTTGTGCTTGGTGTAAACTCGCCATGTCCCCGTCCAAGGTCTCGGACTATTTGCGACGATGACTATTGGTCATGAACCAGTTGACAGCTGTTCTTCATCAAAATACCAAACACACCACCTCCTGATTTCCATTCTTCTCCCTCCCAACATTTTCTTTTGCCACGCGCGTCCGCCTCCCCAACCATGAACCCGCACCGCTCCGAGCGCCTCGTCTACACCGCATTCGACGAGGATTTATACAAAGTCCGCGCGTTAGCCAGTAGTAGTAGATGAAAAGTATTTGTATGCGTATATATATATAAATCGGAAATGATGTCCAGCCCGGAAATCAGTGCGCCGCTCCATGCTAATGCAGATTTTGCGGCTCCTCGCCCACCGTGTAGCCCCTCGCAATGCCACTTCTGCCCTCCTCCACCAACGTACTGGCCTCTTCCTCGAAGTCAGTGCCCAGCCCTTGCCACGTCCTCTGCGTGCGCAGGTACTCTGCTCCCGGGCTGGCGACGCCGTTGATGCTCGCCATCTCGCCCGCCGCTCTCGAAATGAGAGCACCGGTTCCAGGCGTCTTGGCCTCGCCGGCTTCCTCGCCCCCGCCATGGGCCGCCGCTGCCGAGCGAATCGCCAAGCGCATTGGTTGGCTGTGGCTCACGAGTCGTCCGGTGCGGAGGTCATACACCGGCGGCAGCGATTCATCCTCGTCGAGTTCCTCGTCCGCGCCCGCATCGTGGTCTGTGCCGTTTTGCGCCGCATGGTTGCCGTTTGTCTCCGTCTCTGCATCGTGCACCTTGAGCTTCTCGATTCCCCCCCACCACTCGTCTCCCCAGATTCGATCTTGCACGTCCATCAGGGCCACTTCCATTTCAAACGGGGTGACGACTGGTCGCCAGTAGCTGGCGTCGTCTTCAATCAGGCCGCTTTCCCAGCAGCCCACCACGACCCAGCCCTCAATCTCGGCAAAATTGGCCAGCTTGGCTGGGTTTAGCTTGCCCACGACAATCGTGTAGCTCTTCTTGCCCGCCTTGTCGATTTTGGCGCGCAGCAGATCAATGGACGGCAGGAAATTAGACACGGACAGGGTATTGACCAAGATGCCGATGACGCCGGCTGACGCCAGCGCCAGGATTTTAGCGAATCGGCGGCGCAGAAGGCCGGCGGTTTGCATCGTGGGATTTTCAATACTGAGGTTCGAGGGCGACGATATCGAGAGGATATGGAGCGAGGTGAATCGAGAGCTGAGTGCGAGAAGAAGCGACTGCGGTGGATCTGCTATATGGAATAAGGCATACTCTTTTAGTTGTTCGGCGTCCAGTTCCTTGTCCACGATCCGTCTGTTCGGGAGCACGCCGGCCGGGTCTCTGATGGCCTCGGTGGCAATAATATCCGAGTAGCCATTTTCTGTCAAAAGTTTCACCACCGACTCCACATGACTTTGGTACGTCAGGTCGGCCATGACTACTACCTTGCTGCTCGTGTCGCTGAATTCTTTGCGAAACTCCTGCAGCACGGCGTCGTGGTCTAGCTTATGGGTGGTGTATACGTATATCACGGGAAGTCGGCTCGTCGGACTCAGACACGTTCGGCCGTAGTGTACCGCCACTTCGGCGTCGGCATGCTCTGCCGCGACCTCGTCGACGCAGCAGGCGCTATAGCTCGTGTCGGCGAGGATGGATATCTTGATGGTCTTCTTGTCGTCGCGGCGTGCCGCTAGATCTCGACTCAGGATTTCTGCGACTTTTGGTGCATCGACCAGCATATGGTCCGGAAACTGTAGCGCAACCTTTGTCCAGTCGCCGGCCAGCAGCTCCGTGACGGTTCGCTCGACATCGTAGATTGCGCGGACGTCTTCGTCGCTCAGGGACGAGGTTGCTTCGAGCTTGGCAGCGACTTCGAATAGGCGTTCTTCGGGCGTTGACAGAACCGGTGCTGCAACTAGTTCGCCGGACATTGTTGTGAAATATCCTAGGCACTCGGCACCTTTATCTCGATATTGTTTGCATGGTTTGGTTTGATGCGACGATGCATGCGAAAAAAGGTTTGGCGGGGCAATCCTGCACTGTGCGAATGCGGGGTCAGGGTGCGAATAGTCGATGCCACACCAGGTGCTTCTAAGAAGGGTTACCCGAAACAGGGCGGCTGCAAGAAGACACTTTCCGTGCCATGCATAGAACTTTCAGCCTCATGCAAGCTTCGAGTATCTCAGAAACATTGATTCAGACCCGAGTCATGCTATTCGCAGACATCCCTGAAAGCTAGCTAAAGTTACCTCCAGCGTTCAGATCCAAGAGACGTTTCGGTCGACGACGCGGGTCTAGTACACGAATTTCCTCATTAGGACAGAAGGGCGCAACAATAGATTAGAGTATGCGCCGCATCTCATTTGCCAACCCGTTTTCAGAGTGTACGTACCTACAAATTACTAACCTACTGTTTCAAATCATTCTCGACAAGTACGTATTCGATTGCAACTTCACATTGGCGAGTTCCTATTTGCCGGCATCTCGGTTTACTACCGCAGTCAAAACTGCTTCAATATTCATCGGAACTGGCCCGCATTTCCGCGCTTGGTCTATTAGATCCATAAGTACGAAAGCGATGCAAAAACCAGGCTGGCGTCGAGTGTGACAGGCGGTATCCCGGGAGTCGGTCTAGACGTCCCCGCAGCGGAAAAGAGAGAAGGAAGGGGCGAATCTTGCCAGCCGATGAAGCAGCGAGCGTGTAACGTAATGATACAAAAAAGGCCCACCGCGAAATCCGTATTGTTGTACGAACATAGTCGTCAGCTGCTCATCCAGGTGGCAGGTCATGGAGAGAGGTCTTCAACTTTGTTTGACTGGCTTGAGATCTTTCTTGCTTCTGACACACTCCTTATATCCGTTGAGTTGAAAATCATGGAGAAGAACACCATGCCTGCCGACACTCCCTCCCACTTCCTCTCCGGAAAGTCGATATTTGTCATTGGTGCCGGTCTTTCCGGCTCTGCCTTTGTTGCCAGTCTCCGTGCGGTCTGGGACCACGACGTTCCGTTTCCGAAGCTTACTGTCTTTGATCGCGACCCCAAGAGCACACATGAACGACGCGGCGGGTACAGCCTATCTTTGTCTGGGAGCGACGACTCGGGAGGGCTCGTCGCCCTCAACAAATCCGGACTTCTCGCAGAGGTATTGCGCAACGCCATTGCCGGTGTGGGTGGCGATGGTGCTTTCAAGCTCTGGACACCCGCTTGGAAAGTGCTCGCAGGAGCCCGGCGAAGGCCGGTAGACGGAATACCTACAGCAAGTGTACGGATTTCCCGAAAGGTCATTCGTCGAGTACTACTTGACGCTGCTCAGCTGAATTCTGAAGACGCTGTTCGTTGGAATACTCGGTGCGTGTCCGTATCCAAGCTACCAAACGGTCGTCTAGCAGTAGGAGTAGTCCGAGGGGATGAAAGCGAACCTAGGATTATGGAATGCGATCTCGTCATCGTTGCGGACGGCGCCAATAGCAAGATCCGTAACCATCTAAGACCGGACGACGGGTTGGAATACACAGGTGCCGTCCTGCGCACCGGCATATCACGACTTTCCGGGTCACTGCCAGAGGAGATTGGTAGAAACTGGGGCTTCGTACTATCTGGTACAGGCACCTCGTTTTTCGTTTCTCCCGTGGGAGAAAAGGACGTTCAATGGGCTGTTGGCCATATCGAGGAAAAGGTGTGTACAGAGACGGGCGATATGGGCCATCCGAAGCGCGTCATCGAGCGGGCTTCAGATCTCGGCTCCAATATTGCCGAGCCATTCAAGACAATTCTTTCACACACGGATCCAGATACTGTGATGTGTATCAACGCCTACGACAAGCTTCCATTTCAGCACTCGGATATCAGTGCGATGCCGGTTGTCTTCATCGGCGATAGCAATCACGCCCTCAGCCCTTTCGCGGGGTACGGCGCCAATCTTGGTCTCAGTGATGCATGGGATCTCGCAGAGCAGCTTGCCAAGGGTCCTTCACTAGAGAAGGCCATTCGCGCGTATGATGCCATTAGCTTTCCACGAGCGTCCAAGATTGTCAGAGGTGCACGAGGACGGCTGCGGGCTGGTCACAGCACGGGGCTGAGATATCTTCTTTTCATGTTTGTGTTGCTTTTCGCTCGGGTCTTTCGTTGGGTTTTCCGCAAATAGTGCTGATGCTCACCTTCCCACAATACCATTGCATTTTTTTCCACGCAACTACCGCTTTCGCGTTGTGCATTCTACTACCCCGTTTCCCAACGGCAGGGATTGATTGACTGTGCGACAACCGTAGCACCACGGTTTTCCTCCCACAACGCTGGAAAACTCGACTTCCACATTAATAGATGCATTCTTGGCTCAAAGATCCTTAGAGATGGAAATAATCCAGCCAGACCTGAGAGGCACCTAATGAGTTGCCATTGCCATGATGCAGGGTTTAGGATGTTGCCCCACAACCCATGGCCTCACTTTACGCGAGACCCTGGCCAGACGCGACTCTACAACGCGCCAGCTTAAAGTGGAGGGTGCTCGCCCATCCATCAGCTCCTGAGCCATTCACTCCATACTCCCTGATACTCTCATCTATCAATTGGTTTCTCTCTTCTCTTGATCTCTGTGAAATACTCCAGAACGAAACATCTGCTGCACTCGCCAGCTCCGCGTACCTATCGCAAACGCGCTCGCCTGCAGCTTCATGCACCATGGCCGGCGACAACACCAGTGCTGCGCGCACTCCGGCGCGACAGCCGGCAAAGGCTGCGGTATCAGTTTCTTCCTCTGCCAAGCAAAAGTCAATCATGTCGTTTTTTCAAAAGTCTTCGCCGGCTGCGACCCCCTCCCCAGCGGCACGCAAACAGGTCTCCTCTGATCCCAGTTCTTGTCTAAAGGAGACAAAGGCCAACTTCTTACCAAAGGCGAAGCCTGCGCAGAAACTCCAAACCCCTGTGCCTTCGAGCGACGCGCCAGAACCCAGCAGCTCGCAGGAGAACCTCGACACTGTTTCTCGCCACGAGAATGCCCCCAGTTCTCCAATCATGGCTAGGCAGGCAAAGCCCAAGCCGCGACCAGCCATCAAAGACCCAGCTGGCAGCAGCCCCGCGCGGAAGGTACGTGATAACCAAGCATGCCGCGCAATAGAATAGCTTTTGCCTTTGAACTTTGCCTAACCGACCGTTGTAGTCGCGAAAAGCCGTCAGCTACGCGGAATCCTCCGAAGACGACGAACCTGTGTCGACTGTTAACCGCCGTCGCACTAGGGCGCGACTGGTTGTAGACGACGAGGACAACTACGGAGATGATGGTGATGCTGACGTGCAAGACGATGAAGGTAGATCATAAGACCTGCCTGCACACATGACCACTCGCTAAACCATTCTTGCAGACGATATTGACGACTTTGTTGTCGAGGACGATTCGGACGGCGCTACTCCAAGACCCAAGAAGAGAAAGCGGCCATCGCAACCGACAACGGCCAGGAAACGATCGAACATTTCACCACCCGCAACCAAGGATGAGCTGAGCGACCTGAATGACGACGATGTTATGACGGATATCCCGCCACCTACTAGTGCTAAGCAATGGAGCTTTGACCCTGAATCAGAAGAGAAAAGACCTGTCACTACTCCAGCTGAGCGTGCTGCAAAAGACCCGAAGCGGAAAGAAAAGGCTCACACAAAGGAACCCGACGAACGCTACTCCTGGCTTTCTAAGATCAGAGACAAGGAGAAGCGCGAACCAGGGGACCCAGACTATGATCCACGAACTATCTTTATCCCTCCTCTCGCTTGGAATAACTTCTCCCCTTTCGAGAAGCAGTATTGGGAGATTAAGCAAAATCTCTGGGACACGATAGTCTTCTTCAAAAAGGGAAAATTCTACGAGCTATATGAAAACGATGCTACCATCGGCCACCAAGAATTCGATTTCAAAATGACTGATCGCGTCAACATGCGCATGGTCGGAGTTCCAGAGAGTGTTCTTGACCACTGGGTTAACCAATTCATTGCCAAGCAATACAAAGTTGCCCGAGTGGACCAGATGGAAACAAATCTCGGCAAGGAAATGCGTGAAAGACAGGACAAGACTGGGAAGAAGGCCGACAAGATTATTTCTCGTCAACTTGCTTGTGTCCTCACCGCCGGGACATTGGTTGACGGAAGCATGCTCCAAGACGACATGGCTGCCCACTGTGTTGCTATTAAAGAGTCTGTTGTGGACGGCCTCCCTGTATTTGGCATCGCCTTTGTCGATACAGCTACTGGTCGCTTCTTCCTGACTGAGTTCGTCGATGATGTTGACTTGACTAAGTTTGAGACCTTCATTGCGCAAATCGGCCCACGAGAGATGCTACTCGAGAAATCTCATCTGTCGACCAAGGCCAACAGAGTTCTGAAGAACAATACCAGCCCTACCACAATCTGGACGCACCTGAAGCACGGCGTGGAATTCTGGGATGCCGACACCTGCAGACGCGAGTTGACTGCTGCGAACTACTTCTCAACGGAAGCCGACAGCGATGGAGGGTGGCCAGAAGCTCTGGAGAAACAAAGAGACAATGATGTCCTCATGTCAGCAGTTGGCGCCCTGGTGTGGTATTTGCGCTTTCTGAAGGTGGAGCGACCCTTACTTTCCCAGAGCAACTTTTCCATGTACAATCCCATTCAGAAGAATGGCACCCTCGTCCTCGACGGCCAGACTTTGATCAACCTCGAAATCTTCTCCAACTCGGTTAATGGCGGCAGCGACGGCACCCTGTTCCAGCTTCTTAACAAGTGCATCACGCCCTTCGGCAAACGCCTTTTCCGACAATGGGTTGCCCACCCGCTTCAAAACATTGATAGAATCAATGAGCGCTTAGATGCAGTGGACATGCTCAACAATGATCCGTCTGTTCGTGAGCAATTTGCCTCCCAGCTCGTCAAGATGCCCGATCTGGAGCGTCTTATTTCGCGAATCCATGCCTGCGCTTGCAAACCAGAAGACTTTGTTCGTGTTCTGGATGGGTTTGAGCAGATTGAGTACACAATGACTCTGGTCTCCTCTTTCAAAGGTGGTAATGGCTTGCTTGATCGTCTTATTGCATCCATGCCCAGCCTTGAGGAGCCCCTGGCCTACTGGAGAAACGCTTTTGATAGACGAAAGGCCAAGGATGAAAAGATTCTCATCCCGGAGCGTGGTATTGAGGAAGATTTTGATGCCAGTTTGGAGCGAATGGAAAACATCAAAAGCCAGCTTCAAGAACTGCTAACAGAGAAGAAGGGGGAGCTCAAGTGCAAGGCGCTCAAGTTCACCGACGTGGGTAAAGAAATCTTCCAAATCGAGGCGCCAAAGGCGATCAAAGTACCCTCCAGCTGGCGACAGATGTCTGCTACCAAAGACGTCAAGCGATGGTATTTTACCGAGCTGACGAGTCTCGTCCGTGAGCTGCAAGAAGCGGAGGAGACTCACTCGCAGTTGGTGCGCGAGGTTGCAGCGCGCTTCTGCAAAAAGTTTGACGTCGACTACGAGCTCTGGCTTTCAGCTATTCAGGCCATTGCCCAGCTGGACTGCTTGGTTAGTCTGGCCAAGGCATCATCGTGCTTGGGCGAGCCAAGCTGCCGTCCGCAATTTGTAGATCAAGACCGAAGCCTCGTCGAGTTTGAGGAGCTGCGCCATCCATGTATGCTGAACACGACTGGCGACTTTATTCCCAACGACATCAAGCTCGGCGGCGAACAAGCCAACATTAATCTGCTCACCGGTGCCAACGCTGCAGGCAAATCAACGGTTCTAAGAATGGTGAGTATTTTTGCCAAGAGTGCAATGCATATTTTATTCTAACTCGAAACAGTCTTGCATTGCCGTTATCATGGCGCAAATTGGCTGCTACGTACCAGCCGTGTCTGCAAAGCTCACACCCGTGGACAGGATCATGTCCCGCCTCGGTGCCAACGACAACATTTTTGCTGCGCAGTCGACTTTCTTTGTCGAACTGTCAGAGACCAAGAAGATTCTCGCCGAGGCGACTCCCCGCTCTCTCGTCATCCTCGACGAGCTGGGCCGCGGCACAAGTTCGTATGATGGTGTAGCAGTCGCTCAAGCCGTCTTGCACCATGTAGCGACGCACATTGGCTGTGTCGGCTTCTTCGCCACGCATTACCACTCGCTGGCCACCGAGTTTGAGAACCACCCCGAGATTCGAGCCCGGCGCATGCAGATCCACGTCGATGATGCGGAGCGCCGCATCACCTTTTTGTACAAACTAGAGGATGGCGTCGCAGAAGGCAGCTTCGGCATGCACTGCGCGGCCATGTGCGGCATCTCCAACACCGTCATTGAGCGCGCCGAGGTGGCGGCCAAGGAGTGGGAGCACACGAGCAGGCTCAAGGACTCCCTGGACAAGGCAAAGACGGGATGCTACATTCCGCTCGGCATCCTCAGCGATGTCGGCAGCCTGCTTGGTGACAGGGGCGGTGTTGATGAAAAGGGTATTGAGGTTTTGTTGCGTGCTATTGAGTGCCTGTAGCAGACTGTAAGAGATGGGGCGTTTGATGTAAATGTACATGTATGGCAATGGTGTTGGCGCTCATGTCGACGGAGGAAATGGAGGACCAAGGGAAAACTGGACTTTGATTGCTGCCTACTAATGCACGGATATATAAGAACTGTTTCACTTTGTCGGCGACCAAGTGTTGTGGCGCAGTTTGTCTGCCACCATGTAATGTAGACTTGTACAAGGCCAATGTCGTTGCCAGGAACACAAGTGGCAGGGCAAGGCTACGTCTCATTGTACCTGCCTTCCTCTCATCGCCTCAAATGCAATTATTGAACATCTTCTTGCACTACCTACCAAAAGCCTATTCTGACTTGCATTGAAAACTCCTTGGACCATGAAAAGTATATTCTGGCCTGGGTGTAAACTCTCATTAAGCTACGAAGACCCTATTCTAAACTCGATACTACTTAAACCCATCGACCTGTCACCCTGGTTCTCATCCCAATGTTCGAAAACAAGGCACTCTGTTGTTGACCTCGTCATCCGAGAATGACGCATCGCGAGCGGCCAAGGGGGTTCAGCATTCGGCACTGGCGCCACCTTTACGACGCCTGCATCCACAACCGCGAGGAACTTGCAGCAGTTGCCGCCCAAAATACAACATTTGTCGTGTTTGACGCTGAACCATGGGCGGAGGATAATTACAAGGCTGCAGAAATCGGCATTTCTATGCTACGCGTGCCTGGATCCCTTCAGAACTTGCCGACGAATACCTTGCCGACGACACTCAGCGAGTTTTCGGAATCCTCTCAGATTGAAACTCACAGAATTGTATTTTCGGATATGAACAGAAGTGCAAGACGCGAGGGGCATAGGTTTGGTAAAGAACATCACATCTGCAGTATCGATGCCCAAGATTTCATCATCAGCCTTGTGGATTCGTACAGGCACCGGCATCACAACGAGAAAAAGGCAACAGCCTCTGGCAGCGAGCAGGTCGTGTTCGCCGGCTTTGACCTGCACTTTGAATTGCGACTCCTCTCGACAACACACACCCGCCTCACAGACTACTTTACGTCCTGGCTGGATATACAAGAGTTGGCGCGTCTTTCCAGCGATATACACAAGCCCGGCTTGAGCGAGACGTTGAGAGCCTGTGGTTTCGGGCGCCAGAACGCAGCGGATCTGCACAGTCTCTGCGGCCGACACAACGCGGCGACGGACACGGTCCGCGCGGCGGCGATACTGCAGCACCTTTTTGTCCGGGAGAGCGACGAACCGCTCCATATTGCGACGTCGGCGCGCAATGCCAGCATCCTCGCGCGGAAGCGCCGCGGGCTGCCCGCCAACGCCCCGGAAGACCGCCAGCTGTGGATCCGCTGCCGGCCGAAGCCGCCCGAGCTGTACCCGTATACTGCGAGGCTGAAGCGATCAACCGGGGATGTGCTCGTTGCGGAAGCTCTGCTGGACAGGTTTGCGGAGTGGGAGCCGGTCGCGGTCGGCGTCGCCAAGCAGACCAGGCACCGGTACGGATGGGTCTGCCTGCCGAGCCGCGGCGCCCTCGACCGTTTTGTGGAAGCGGTAGACGGCGCCGAGCACCCGGGCGGCGGCACCTGGATGGCGGTGTCGTGCTATGACCCCGACGTGATGCCCGCCAAGGATAGGCGCGAGCTCGCAGAACGACTTCACGGCATGGCGGATGAGAAGCGCCAACAGCGCCGCTTGAAACGACTTGCCAACGAAATGGCGGACCTGTTCTGATGGGGGGCAAGCGCCACGAAGCGTGCGATAGGATACGATCAGAAGCATAGGGGGGAAAGGGGAGAAAGCAGACGCTGCAGTTGCTATTTCACAATTTATAATCTCGGGACTTGCTTCTCGCATCATCAATCAGAGTCACCTTCACTTGATATGTCTATTACCGTCTCGGTTTCTAATGTCTCTCGCGAAAAGCGGCAGCTCTATACATATGTCAATGCAATTCCTGCAAAGGCCCCAGCGCCCTCGTACAATCTCTTCCTGCCCGTGCCGTCCATGTTGAACCTATACACAGCGCCTCCCAAATCAGTCGTGTACAGGTGGCGGTTTCTGAGGTCCAGCTTGATGCCAATGGCCTCGTGCAAGTTCCTGACCAGTAGCTCATAATTCTTCCCGGGCATGCTTGTCAGTTTTGCATCCCGCACAGGCGTGATGCCATCCAGCTTCACCCGGTTGATGCTGTTCCCGAGAGGCAGCTCGCCGCGGTCGGTCCAGTAGAGATGGCCGCCTTCCTCGTCCACGTCTAGGTCGATGGGTTCGGGCAACCCCTGGAGCAGCGTCTCGATATCAGTGCGGTTCTTTGCCGTCTCTCCTTTTGGAAAGTCAATGTTGGCGCGGAAAATGCGCCCCTTGTTGCCTTTGGAGGATCCCTTCTGGGTCCAGTAGAATTTGCCCGTCGCAGGGGACACAATGACGCCGACGCACCAGCGTGTCTGATCCTCCTTGTGCTCCTTGTTGTGGAAATCACCCGTCTCGACAATCGTCTCCAGACTGGAGCCGTCAAAGTTGCAGCGATGCACGCGCAGGCCCTCGCGGTCACAAAAGTACAGTTTCGAGCTGACCTGGTCAATGACGAGCTGCTTCGGGGTGTGCACAGATCCGGGTGGAATCACAACCTTGGCATCGCTACCGTCGAGGTTGGAGCTCCAGATTGCACCATCATTCTTGCTCGGGATGCCCATACTCGTCCAAAAGAGCTTGCCAACAGACAGAGCGACATCAATGCCGTCAGGCGTGTTCTGTTTGCCCACCAGCTCTTTCAGCGGGCGCTCATCCGCGGCACCAACCAGGACACGGCCGGCGTTTAAGGCCTCGTGCGGGTCGGCAGCAAGTCCAATGTCGAGAAAGTAGAGAAGCGGCAGGTGCAGGTCGTCGTAGTTGCTGGCCGCATTGTCCACGCTCAGAGCCGCACCGCCGGGCGGCAGCAAGCCGCCCTTGGCCGACTTGGTGCCCAGGCGGCCGTCGTCAATGTACTTCTTCAGGAAGTCGACCGGCGTGTTAGGCAGGCCGCGCTCGTCAATGTAGTGCTGCTCGATAAATGACACCGTGTCGAGGCCGACGGCATCCATCATGCCGACGGGACCGCTCTTGTTGCCGCCCCAGACCTCGAGCCAAAGCTTGTCAATCTCCTCGGGCGTCGACACGTCTTCGGCGAGAATGGTGAGGACCTCGCGCTTAATGGCCGCCCACAGGCGGTTGAAGATGAGGCCGGTGGATTCCTTGCGGGCGACGTAGGGGTGCATCCCGACCGCTCGGAGCTTCTCGACGAGGAACGGAAAGATGGCCTCATCCGTCTCGCCATCGGTCATGAGCTCCACGACACGGTTGCCGGGCGGCATGTAGTAGTGCATGTTGAGGATGCGCTGCTTCGTGGCCGCCTGCAGGCCGTCAATCATTTCGCGGCTCTTGTAGGACGAGGAGTTGCTGCAGAGGATAGCGTCGGGCGGCGCGAGCTTTTCCAAATCGGCAAAGGTGGAGATCTTGAGCGGCAGTTTCTCAGGGACCGCCTCGATGACGAGCCAGGCGTTGGAGACGGACGCCTTGAGGTCCTCGGCGGCGGTGGCGGAGCCGCGCTTCGCACAGTCCGAGTACTGGCCGAAGCTCGTCTCGCAGTAGTGCACGGCGGCCATGCGCTGCTCCGAGCTGGGATCCCGAATAACAACGTCAAACCCCGACGCGGCCCAGGCGCACGCGATGCGGCGACCCAAGACGCCGCCACCGAGAACGGTGACAACGCGACCGTCTGTAGAGGGCAGTGTAAAGCCCATTTTTGTAGCGATGGAGGAAGAAGTTGCAGGTTGCTGAATTAGTGCGTGGTGAATAGCGACTGAAGAACACCAGGGTCGGGAGAAGCTTGCGAGGAGGGCAGGCTGTCTTTTATGAGATTGGTCTGGGACATTCAACCTCGTTGGTCCCGACAATTCCCATGTCCGTCCAGAAACGATAGAGGTGACCAACGTTACGTCAAGATGGCATTGGTGAGGACGCGCTACCAGATAGCCCGGGTATCCACGATTCGCCGGCTGGTCCGGTAGAGCGGCCGAACAAATGGGTCCATGCTCGAATAACACTGGTGGAATCAACAAGCCATAGATCGGGCTAGGCAAGTCTATTTAGACACCGGACATTATAAACAGGAAATCCCGGACCGGTAAACTCCACCCGGACCGTATGCTCCACCGGGAGCCGAGGCTGTGCCCGTTAAAAAAATCCCGCCCGCCCACGGACCTAAGCATCATAGAAATCTGCTGCGTTCCAAGCTGGCCTTGTCCGCGGGCAACACGGAGAGGACCGGCCTTGTCGCATGAATGACGTGGGGCAAATCGCTAGACTCCAAGAATCCTGTAAAGCTGGTGAGTCGCGCACGTTGTAGGCTGGGGACCCTGGCTTCCTTTTTCTTGGAAATACAGTTACACACCTCACTTTTGCCCCCTTCTCTTCATCGTTTCCTTCCTTTGTTGCCAAACCATTCCCCTTTTCGTCCTCCCTCGCTTCGGCTTATGGATCTATGATTATGTTCTCTTCGTGTACCTTCCACAATGGGTCATAGATCGAAAGCCATCTCCAGGTAGTCGAAGCTGGAAGAGGCTGGGGTAGACCCTGCGGCGTGCTTTTAAATCTCCAAAATATGATAGCTTGTCGAATCCAGACTGAAGACCCTGGTGCAAATGACCACAGTTCCTGGTACATAGCAATATTCCGGAGAAAGTTGTTGGCGCCGTGGAGAGTTGGCAGCGTCGCGGTCTCATGGACCCTACCCATGGGCCTGGCCCCAATCCTGCCTGCCTCTCGTTCCAGCTCGGCGTTTCCATAGTCCTCTGCCAACTTCAAAAGGGTATCAAATTTTGTGGCTGGGAACGGTACGTTGAGACCTCGGAAATCGCCGCAATCACAGTTGCTTTTCTCCTCTCTGCATCCGCTGCAGTGAAATCCGTAGGTAGTCAAGAAATACTCGTCTCTATTGTGATGCCATCTGCTGGGATAGCTTAGTCTCGTGGTGCATTTCCAGCGGTGAGTATGGAACCAGTCGTGTGCAAATGACACGGTGATAGAGCCTGACAGCTTCGATTGATATGGAAAGTTGCCAGTCTCGTGTAAATTCAGACTTGTATGCAGTTCAATTAGGAGGCAATCTGAGTCGCTCCTAGGGAGGTTCAGACTGCTGTAAATTCCGGGGCTGTCTTGCTTCCAGCGGCCCGTCACCGTGCTGACACAGGCTGATGTTGTTCTTTGAAGCCCCCGAGCGTATTGATGAATAATCCTTTTGTTCTCCAGTACTATAGAGGGATGGTCCTGGCGGGATCCCTTAGCAGACAGAGGAGTGCCGCGATGATCATGAACAGCGCTAGTTTGGCCGTCTACTCCTAGCGACGAAACGAAGAGATCCACCGCCTCGATACGGACAGGGATTGACCGCTGAAGTCCCAAAAGCACTGCCCAATATGCGTAATTTGGCTTCGCGTCTGGGACTCTGTCTTCTAGGAAAGCAACCAGAATAGCGTTCGATGTGAACAGAGCATCAACTGGTTCGGTGAGCTCTCCAGAGTCAAATAGCATATGGACTATTCTTGAACTTTAGTCTGAGTATTGCATAGTATAAAGGGTACTTACAGCATCGCAAGTCTTTGAACAGCCCCTCAATGCTTTGGAGATAGCGAGGCACTTCTCTATCAACCCAATCCGGGGATACGACGTGGCAGTTGTTGCGGCCTTGTCTTTTGGAGAAAAGAATAGCACAAACGTACTCTTTTATAAGCATATCGCGGTCATATCTTCTGTCTCGTATTATAACATTGTGCCTCCCTATCGGTGGCAACATCAGCAAAGCTTTCATACAATCAGCACCGACCTTTGTTCATGAGCTCTCGTCCTCATCACTCACCATCCAAAACGGCATCTTCGAGCCCAGAGTACGCCCACACATCGTACTCAGGGCTTCGAGCTCCCCGATACTTTCTGAAGGCAGGCCATAGGGACAGCGGGTTAGAGTCGCGAGCATTTCCCATAGCAAGAGTTGGTAGAGTGAAGCGGGGTAACTCGTTCGTTCAGGTAGCATTGCTGGCTCGAGAGGGTCCGCGAGCCCGTCGTTCCAGCGATCATTCCTTTTCTCAATGCTTGTTCATAATAAATTACGGTGCTCCGTTGCCCACACCAATGTCGACGCGGTGCAAAAGATACCTTGCAGCAGGTCGATTGCTTGGAGTACAGACCGCTTCGACTTGTCGGGCTGAGCCTGGGCAGCAAAACGAAATCAAGAAGAAGTTTCTTAAGATTCTCTTTCTTACTTAATAACTATAATTATCAACTAAACTAACTATAATATAAAACCTTAAAATAGCTATTATTAAGTCTATTTTGAATAATAATAAATAATAATAAAACTAATTATATTATAAAAATAAAACTATTAAACTATTTTAATAGCTTAAAAAGTTTAATTTAAATAAAGTAATTAAAAAAGTAATTATTAAAAGTTACTCTTAATAATAAGAATTATATTATTCTAAAAAGACTAGCTAATTTATTTAGTATTTTCTTTTCTTATAAATATAAAAAGAAACTAAATAGCTTAAAGAAAAACCCCTAATTTGAATATTAGTTTACTATAATATTAAAGAGATTCTTAATAAAAAGTAATAAAACCTTTTCTTAATAAATAAATAAAGATAAAATCTTTAAGTCTTTATCTCTTTTTTTATTATAACTTTATTTTATTATAAATAAAGGCTATTTCTATTTTTATCTTAATTGTTAAGGGCTGGGCTACGGAGCCCGCCCTGGTCCTTCCAGAGTGGCCGGCGCGGAGCCCCTAGGGGGCCCCTTATAGGTGCAACCAGACAACAATCGGTCAGTATTGTTGTTACGAATCCTTTTGCCTTCCTTGGTCAAGTGGGCAAGAGGGTTGTGCGCCGTAAGGCCACTGACGGCTGCGGGGCTGGTTGCCCCCGAAGCCCCTTTGGGGCCAGTCCGTCACATTAATATACTAAATATATCTTAATTATCCCTATATATATAATTATTTTGTTAATACTATAAAATCTAAAAGTCATTAAATATAAAGAGTACATTTTATTAAGTCTAGAGTTATCTTATTAATAGCAGTTGCTGGTTGCCACTGGAGCCCTCCAGGCCAGAACCGTTACATTCGCTGTCGTGGACACCAATACCTAGGTTTTGACAAGGAAGGCCTCAATCTTCAGAGTTGGAAAACATGGATGCAGAAACTAGCATGGCTCATTGATGAAGCAGATGAGGCTAGGGTGGGTTAGTTGTGTACCCAGGTAACCAAGTGTTGGAATTTCGTTTGCTAGTTACTCCGTACATTGTAAATTTATTCCGGTTACAAATCTGGCCTTAGCCATGACACAGCCTGTTAGCCAAGCACCTGCAAGCTACATGGATACCTGTCCGAAATATGACATAGCTCTTTGGGAGACACACGCAACCGAGGATGACTGTTCCTTTATCATCCGAACGGACAACGGACATGCATTCTACTGCGAGACGTCGCCGTCTTCCATCGATCCCCCCTCGCCAAACAGCAGTACTTCAAGTGCCTCAACCTCCTCCGCTCGGGCGAAGAAGTAGATGAAGATGAAGATGAAGATTTTTATATTGAAGACGCGTGCGACTGGCTCTCGACGCCGTTCCGGCCCCTGATCGCGAGTCTCGCTCCTGGCACGCTGAACGAGGCCGGAAGCGGGCTGCCGACGCTGGGCCAATACCTGTTCCCGCGCTATTTCGTCTGTTCACTCGCCGCCACGGACGAAAAGCTCCACGCATATGAGCGAGCCTCTCGGGAACACCACTGGGGCAGCCCAGTGCTTCTCGTGGGCGATGACTTGCTGGCTGACCTGGAGAGCTGGACACGATCGTTTCACCCCTCTCAAGTTCACATTTGCTATGAAAACCCAGAGGATATTCTAATCAAACCCCCACGACAAGTGCTCGTCCACGGTGATGACGGCAGTGCCACGGAATGCTTTTTTAAACCCTTGAACCTCTCGTTCAGACAAGCGCATGCCCAGTCCGAACTTGCCACCCACATACGGCTGGCGCGGGCTCACATACTGGACCTGCCGCAGGCCTTCATCTGTCGCCTCTACGGCGTTGTTCGCGATGGAAACAGCGTGGCAGGCATGCTGTTCGCATGGATCGAGAACAAAGGGGCCTTGTCGGAGGCGAGAGCAGAGCAAAGCCCTGTTGCGCTGCGCAGACGCTGGACCACCCAGATCAGCGGCACGGTGCAGATACTGCATGATCGGAACATTGTCTGGGGTGACGCAAAGGCGGACAATGTTTTGATCGATATGAACGATGACGCATGGGTTATTGACTTTGGAGGGAGTTACACTTTGGGGTGGGTTGATAAGGAAATTGCTGGCACGGTGGATGGCGATATGCAGGGGCTATCGAAAATTATGAGCATTCTTTCTTGAAAACTATGTTCTACCGACTTTCTTCCTTTATCCAGCCTATATACTTGTTATGCTGTCTCTGTTGTCTAATATCTAATATTCAAGGTTTCATTCATGTCCAAGGCTGCGACCAAGTACCAGTCCTAGTGTGCAAATCTAAAGTCCAGTCTCTTGCTGCCCTTTTCCGACGTCGTGTCTATGTAGTTTCGCTTTTCCTCAGCCGTCATGCCGTCCCATTTCGCCGCCTTTGTCTTGTTGCGCCACATGTAGTAGCCCTTGATGGCCACCGTGAAGACGGCGTTCCAGGCAATGATGCCCAGAATCGCCGTGTTTCCGCGTCGGTAGTACGGTTTGTCGTCCTCGCGGTAAATCTTATCACCAAAATCAGCATGCCCATCTGGTACTCTGGCTGCTTTTTCGACTCACGTTGGAGGCAATGATGCTGCCCGCTTGCACGCACATGTTGTACACTGCGCTGCCGACTGTCCTGCCCGCCACGGAGCCGGCATTTCGAGACGTCAACGAGACTAGACGAAAATATCACATCAGCACACCTGTTGTGTCACATTCTCTCACATTTTTCTTCAGATTTACATACCAACGATGGAATGCACATAGGGGTACCCGATGACGAGCACCGTCAGCGCATAGCGCGACCAGCTGCTCGCGCCGTCGGGCAGCAGCCGCAGCGACAGGATCAGCGGAAACAGCCACACGGAGCACAAGAAGACGACGAGGAAGCGGTTGTTGAGCCACTCGGAGATGCGCGTCCAGAAAATCAGCTGCACCGCAAAGAGCACGTAGCCGGGGATGGTGAGCAGGTTCGTCTGGAACGTGTCGAAGCCTAGCTGGCGCAGGGTGAGCGTCAGGTAGCTCTGGATCGGCGCGACGGGCTCCAGCAGCGTGAAGCCGAGGAGGTAAACGGGCCACAGGTCAAAGTCGGACAGCGCCTGCCAGAGCAGCGACAGGCTCAGGCCTTGGCGGTTGTGCATGCCGCCCTTTTGTGTGTCAATGGGTCAGCAAGCTTGCATCCCAACTCAAATGGGGGTAGAGGCGAAAAAAACAAACCTTGCTGGGATCGTCGCGCAGGATGCGGTTCACCATGATGACCTCTTCGCGCTCGCTAAACCACCCGTCCTTGCCGCGCAGCCCGCCGGCCGTCTGCGTCGGGCTCGGCGGGAGGTAGAACCAGGAGAGGACGCCAATGAGGGCCGTCAACCCGCCCTCGAGCACAAACATCCAGCGCCAGCCCTCCCAGCCGGCGATGCCGCGCATGTGCAGGATGCCGTAGGCGAGAAACGCCGAGAGGATGGGCGTCAGGTTGCTGGCCGTGTAGAAGTAGCTGACGCGCACGGGCAGCTCCTTGCTGTCGTAAAAGTAGGACAGGTACAGGATGGCGTCGGGGATGAAGCCGCCCTCGAACGCGCCGAGGAAGCCGCGCGTGACCAGGAACCCGGTCCGCCCGCGGATCACGCACTGCAGCATGGCCACGGTGCTCCAGAGCACCATCTGCGCCGGCACCCACACGTCCGGCCCCAGCTTCTTGGAGATCATCTGCGACGGCAGCTCCGCGAACAGGAAGCACAGGTAGAAGACGGTCATGCCCAGGTTGTAGTCGTTGGTCGTCAGGTGCAGGTCCTTGAGGAAGTTGTCGGCCAGCGCGTTGGAGATGTTGCCGCGGTCCAGCTGCAGCGCGAAGAACATGAGGCAGACCCACGAGCAGATCCGATAGTCGAGCTTGGGCAAAGACGTTAGTTTTTCATCGTACACGAGCGTCAATGGGTTTAATCTCGTCAAAAGGGAGCTCTCTCACCTTGCGCACGAGACGCTTCTCTTCTTTGGACGTCCACTCCGCCTTGGGGTCGTACCGGTGACGGCCCTCGTACTCGGGGATAGGCTCGTAGTGCTGCGCCGAGCCGCCCTGGACAAAGACGCTGCCATACAGTGCATCTTTGGCCGACGCTTCAGACGTGCTGGCCGAGTTGGAGTGGCTGCCCAAGTTGTCGAGCGCCGTGATGGAAGGCTCCTTTGCCGTCTTGGAACTCATCCTTTTTTTTCCAGCACAATGCAGTTCCAACCGGTCACAGGAGAATGGGCAAAATAAAGAGTAGTACGACGAGAGCACAGCTTTCTTCAAATCCAAAACTCAGAGCTGCCGTGCCATATATACACACAGGCCGCTGCGACTTCCGCATGGCCCGCGAGCAGCCAACCCACACTCACACCTCAATGATGCCATCGCATCCTTGTCTCAGCGTACCGAGCAAGTGCATTGAGACTCTACGGGGCCGCACATCTGCTGCTCCTCTCGGCCAACGAGATCTCTTGGTTACGCCAAAAAGCCCTGCGGGCACCCACCCCGCATAACTCGCAGTTATCGCTGCGTTGCGACGTTGCTGGGCTTCTAGCCCTATGGCGTCGTGGAGCGGCCCGATCACGTCAGTTCCAAGCAGACAGAGAGGGGGGCAGCAGTAGCCTATCTCGGGCCCTGAATTTACAAAGTGCATGAGATTGAGAGAATTTAGAAAAGAAAGATGAAACTCGGTTTTGCATAACAAGGCTCTGGTGGACAGTCTTCTGTCGAAATCTACCGTTACTCAGGCAGGTTCTAGACCAGCGACAGGACAATTGCGTGCGCAAGGCCATGATGAATCCCAGCACAATAACATAAACGCAGTCGTTTCATTTTTACTCTGCTGATCCGTAGTCTCGTCTCGTCGCTACGGGGTACACGGTAGAATTGTCTCTGCTGCACGCCATCCATCCATCCATATCCGTTGCAACAATGAGTAGCATCGCATCCGCCTCGGAGTCTCAGCTCAGCACCTCTTTTCTTCTTCTTTATTTTGTGCCCATGCACGCGGCAATTCTCCACTCTAGTCAGAAGCTTTGCATTACATTACACGTCTTGGGTCTCGACGACTGTATGCGTGGCTTGTAGAAAGATGCCCACGAGGTGGCGCGCCGCCGGGAGCCCCCGGTATCAGGTCCCCGGCCGTTTGCCGGGGGGGGGCCGCCCAACGCGTGCGCGTGGCCTCTTTTGTTTTGGCCCTCTTTCAGTTTGCTTTGGTGACGACGGGCCGTGAAACCCCCAGAAGATGGCCGCGATGTGGGAGACCTGTCGAGGGATGTGCTAGCCAATCATGGACAACGAGTCGGAACTGGATCCAGGCCTTCAGTCGTCCAAGTTGACACGGTAAATCCAACGTTAGCGGTAGCTCACTTTCGGCGTCTGCTTGTGCAATACACTCGAGTAATACACTATAGAGTGCACAATGCTCACACTTAACTATCACAACCGGCTAAAGAGGGACATTGTATACGCAAAGTGAGAACTCCAATTCCTGTGTGCAGCTATCTAGTTGCAAACGCCGCAATGCAAAATGAATTTCCACCTCGTCTTGATACATTAGTTCGTAAAAAGCGACTCTGTTCCTCGAGCGCCCTAAGTTCAAATAATACAGGAAAGACGCGCTGAGCCCTTCAGGCATTGAACGTGCATTACACTGTGCAAGACTACATACATGACTTCAGGCAGAAGTAATCATGTGCGAATTGGTCTTGGGAATTGTAATACTGAGGTTCAATGCCAGATAAGAATTCTGGTTCTTGAGAACAGTACGCGAAGTTGAATGCCAAACCCGGAAACAGGGGCATATCAACCATTTTGGGGGCGCCGAGATTATCAGAGAGGTCGAAATCACCGCCGACAACTTGGAGGTCACGACAGCCGTCGTCGTCCACATCATGGAGAGAAGGGAGAGTGACGGCCATCGCATTGCCCCGAGCTGCAGGTGAAAAGTGCGTTGGGACCTCTTCATGAGCGGTAGTAGGTGGCGTCATCTGGAGGTTGGGAATCTGAGAGGAGATGGCCTTGTTGTACGGAGACTCACCCACGTGAGAAAGCTCCGGAAGCATCATTCTTGCGGCGTAGAGTTCCTCAACTTCCTCAAGAAATCCGGGTCCGGTCTGGTAAGGCTCCAATGAACCGAATGTAGCGACTGTAGAAGAGGGGGAATGGTTCTCGGCGATGAGATCCCTGTTCTCGAGCGTCCGAGGGGAGATTCCGACAGGGAGGAAATCCGTATTCCCTGGATCAACTAGAAAATCAGCAGGCACACCCGGGGGACTAGCATCCCGGGGTGGGGTTGGCAAGCTGTAGCTGGGCGTGGTATTGGGAGGAGAAATGTAGGTAATGGCGGGCCGGTCCACGTTGATAGGCTTAGAGGCCTTCTTGTTACCGCTGGACTTGGTACGTATGTAGGTCCAACCGTGAGCCTTTTCCATGTGCTGTTTGCAGTTGGATTCGCGCTTGGACTTGTATGGGCAAGGCTTGAAGTAACACTCGTGCATCGCGGGAGCGTCAGAGTGTTTGTCATTGAGGTGACGGTCCATCTCCTTTTGGGTAGGCCAGCCATACTTGTGGTATTTGCAGGTGGGAAAGGGGCACTTCCAAGGACGAGAGTGTGTCTTCTCATGTTTGGTCAGGTCACAGGGACGCTTGAACTCCTTGGTGCAGCCAGGCTCGCGGCACTTCTTTGGAGCCAGTTCTTCGGGAGTAGCGTTCTTCTTGCGGCGGGCCATGGAACGCATAATTTCCTCCTCGTCGTCAAGCTCCTCGCTGAGGGAGCGCTTGAATCTGACGGGCGTCTCGTTCAGGTCCACTGGCTTACCAGTGGACATGGAGAAGGCAGTACCATCCTTCTTGACGCGAACAAGCTCAGCTGGGCGGCCGTTCTCGGTGATGCCACCAAATAGGCGAATATCGTCACCTCTGGACGAGGTATTAGCTGGGTAGTCGAGAGGCACAAATCGTGGAACATACTTATCGATTTGCATTTCGTCGGGAAGGTCTCCCTTTTCTTGGGTGGCAAGCAATCTGGCGTATTCAAGGACTTGTGTCGTCAAGTCGAGGTGATATCCGCCAGTGTAAGGGCGGTCGCCAGGTCGAACTTGCTCGTGGACGGGGACGTAATCGACAGTCGTTTGAAGACACCGAATCACGGAGCGACAGAAATGCAAGTAGCAAGCGGCGGACTTTGCCTTTTCCTTTATGCGCAAATTTCGATAAGCATCACTCCAAACACCAACGCCTGTTAAAAGTTGACTTACCGGAGCCTTGAAAATTAGATTCTTCTCAACATCCCGAAGACAGTTGATGGTCCTCGAACGAATGAGGCGGGGAATGTCCAACATGATTGTTTCAAAGAACTTAAGCGAAGGTTCTTCTAGAAGAGGACGAAGTATGTGCTCGTGAATACGATTCACAGTGCGGAGGCTGAGCGGGGGTGCCAGGCAAATGTTACTGGCGGCAGCGGTGCGGGTCGCGGTATGAGTTTTCGTGTGCTTGGGAGAAGCATCAACAACGCAGGCCTTGTCGTTTGTCGAGGCAAGCGAGCTGCCGAGGCCACTGTCGGAACAATGTTGGTGTCGGTGGTGCACTGAGCGCGGACGGAGAACTAGTTGCTCCTGTTCTTTCGCCTTGGCTGGGTCGACGACGGGGAGATCGAAGAGCCCACGGGGAACAGGAGTCGAGATGTCGCGGAAGGCTAATTTTGTGTTTTGTTTCGACTCGGAAAGGAAGGTATTGGCAAGAGCCTCGTTGATATCATCGATAGTGGAAGTCAAGACCATGCGTCGGCTATTGGCGTCGATGACGTCGTCCAGCTGAGACTGAGAGCGTGCGAGGCGTGGTGGGAGATAATCTTCATCAAGGTTATGATATCTGGGTGATGAAGGAGAATGAAAGGTGGCACCCTTCTGGAGGGACGTGGTGTTTTTAAGTGCCATTTCCTTCTCGACGACAGACCCGGAACAAGTCGTCATTCTGCGGCGCGGATTGGAAAAGGACATTGTGCAAATGACTTTTCGGCGGGGACGCCAGCTAATAATGAAACAGCACAGGCGATATGCAGGAAGCTGGCGGCCACAAGAGATGGTTAGATGGGTTGGCTCGGGGTGGGATGCAGGAGGGTGTGGTATGAGTCACAAGCCGGAATCTCGACGCAATTGTCAAGAATGGGCAAGTCACAAATTGAAAAGAGAAAGAGAGACGCGGAGCCGAACAAGGATGAATTCGAAATGGAATAAAGGGGGGTGTATGATGAAGCCAATCCGGCTTTGTGACAACGGTGTCAAGGTGTGTCGCGTTCTTACCCAGTCGACGTGCGAACGTTCACTGGTGGTTCGCCAGCAGGGCTATCAAGGAAGCGAGAAATGTAGCCGAAATGGTAATGAAGGGCGTGTGCAAACGTAAAGAGAAGAAGTCGAGTGGCGAGGCAGGTGAGTTTGGAGCAGCGTAAACCGAAGACGACGAACAGGGTGGGTGTCAAACGGAAAAGGCACGAGAGTGCGGAAAAGGCGGACAGCCGTGTTGATATAGAGTAAAGCACCAAAGAGGGGGGAAAACAGACAGTCGTCCAATAACAGATACGGCGGGCGGCAGATGACGAGCAACGATCCGGGGAGCGACGAGAGATGATGGACGTGGCCTGAGGTGTTGTTTTCTTGTGTGTGTGTGTGTGATGAAGAAGACGAGAAACGAGGTAATGATGTACTCTGCCAACGACAGGAGGAAAAGTGGGTTCTCCAGCCCGGAGGCGCTGCTGCCTAGACTAGCGCCTAAAGAGGCATAGCGCCGAGCTGAGCAAAGCGTTAGTGTGAGAGACCGATGGGGGTATAGTCCATGTGCCCGGGCGCTGTCAACGCGCTGGCTGGTGCACTAGTACAGAGACAAGGGCACTAACAGGCCGTTGAGAGCGGTGCGGCGGCGGACATGGAATGACCCAGCGGTCCGAGACGGGCTTGTTGACACTCTTGGCCGCCTACCTAACCTGTAACTAGGTGTACCGATGTATCCCAAGGCCTTTGCCTGGCATACCCGGATGGCGAGGTCCTCTGGCGCTTTTGTGGCCCGTCCGTTCCGGCTGACGTTAGTGCCTAGGTACATGCTACCGAACGTGCGACCATCAGACGTTACCGCATCTCTCAACACCTCAGCACCCTCAGCACCCTGTCGAATTAGCCACATCCCTGCCAGCAAACAATTTCGACGCAGAGCACGAGCCAATATGCACACCGGGCCCTCGAATTCGTCCTAAAACAAGTTGAGCATCCTTACTATTAACTAACTACAAATTACTGGCAATAACTAATTGCCATCTCCCCCATCCTCTTTGCACACCACCTTGCGGACTTTGCCTCAGAGCTAGCGGCGGGTATTGCGCAGCCCTCACCGTGACCTTTGGGTAAGCCACGACCTTGCCTCCCCCCCCCCTCTTGTACCAAGTTACCAATTCAGATCCATCTGTACGAGGCCAGCGCCAGCGTACTGGGACAGTGCGACATGCCTGCAAACGCGGACGAGAACTACCTAGTGACGAAGCGAATCGCCTACCTATCGAGTTATTTGTGGATAACTACCTCCTAGTAGGAATTGCAAAGCGCCCGTTTGACAAGATCATTCTCTGGACATTACCCTCGCAGTCCGCCAAACCCCTTGGCATGCAAAACCCCCGTATCAACAACACCCTCGCGCCGCCAGGTCAGAAGGGTGTCATCCCCCCCCCCCCCCCCGGCTGTCCCCTGTCTCCCCCAACCGGAGGTAATGTGCTGCTTCCGAGGCCCAATGTTTTCGCTTAGCTCAGCGCCCTTGTTTTTTTGTTGAAATGACAACAACAGATCGAGCGCGGCAGTGGCATGTCGGCAGCACCATGTCACCAACGCCTGCGACCCCATCGCCGGCCGTCTCCGCTTGGTAGGGCTGGCCCAGACAGATCAGTGCCACGTCTCCTTACCTATGTGCAAATGCAAGTCGAGCGCGCCATGCAACCGAATCAACACAGCGGCGGCGACACACACAAAGATCGGACAATTAATGTCCTCGTGGCCATTATCTTCAGCAACACCCGCCGCTCCAAAGCGTCCGACCCCAGTGCTGACGACACGTCTACACCTCCTTCCCCCGTCCTGTCCAAGAACGAGGCTTGACACCCCCCCCCCCCCTCCTGACCAACGATTAACCAGTTTATAATGAAGCCTATTGCAAGTGGGCCCGTTCCGTCATCGCTTGTTCGCGGCGGTTCGCCCGTCGGTGGACGCACTAGCAAAAGGCACCAACATTTCCAACCCGTCTCGTTAGTCGCCAAGCTTGTGGAAGAAACACCGCCCAGCGAGGAAATATCCAGCATCGTAGCTGGGAGATGTAAACGGCTGCCTGATTCGCAAGTATTATTTGCGCAAGAGCGGGTGGCTCAACTCACTCATTGATGGAAGTCAGTCGCGCGCCAACCCAATCGTAGACCTGGTTTCTGGGGTGCAGCAGACTGCAAGCGACGTACACTGCACCACGGGGTTACTCCCTATACGTTACCAGATACCTAAGTTCCATCCCAGTGCTCCAGCCTTATGATCCTGGGGTACACTCGATACCCTAATTAATTTGTGCAACGGTGCACATTTGTGGCGGCCGATACATCATCGGCCTACTACTGTAGGGTACTCCATTGTACTTTCGTACTCAACTTATATTAGAAGAGACAATGACAACACATTAGGCCTTATTTCTACCTAGCGCGTCGCATTTTCCTTATTATTATTGTTTCCTTTACTAGGTCTTAACCTTTAATCTGCTATTTGTTCCTTTTCTTTTCTTTTTAATCCCCCCCCCCCCCTTTTTTTTTATTGGCGCTGCCAGGAGGGGGCCGGCATGATTATGAGGTTATGAGACAATGGCGCTTCGAAACAACCATGTCACGTCTTCACCATACGTGCTCACCACCGAGACGGGTAGGTCTGGGCGTGCCCGCAGAATACTGGTAGTGATGGTAACATCAAACAAGAAAGAGGGCCGCCCAGGCCTCAAAGTTGAACGAGTAATTGCCGACTTGGGCGGTTCACCGTTGCCTGGACCATTCCATCACTGTCACCTTTGGCTTGTCTAGCTTGAAATTTATCAGTGACAAAAAAAGCTGCTTCATGATGAGTATCACACACCTGCCAAGACCGCCACAGCCAGAGCCGCCGCAGCCAGAACCGCTATAGCTCCTTTTGTCGCGAGTCCTGCCATTCAAACGGGGCGCCTTCTCACCCAGCCAGGGTGATTCGCGGTGGGCGGGCTGTCCCATCCTCGCTCAGGACCGTGGGCCGCGCCGAACCTGCGGCCTTGCCTCGTGGTGGGTTGCTCCGACCGGGCCCGAGGCCATCCAGCGCAGTAGGAGCCAGGCATCTAAAGGGTATTTGGCCCAGACAGGTCGAGCAGGCGCGAGAGCCGGACGACCAGCTGGTTGCGCACCCCGTCAAAGTGCGCCTGCGTGACCCGCGCCGTCTCGTTGCCGAAGAAGGTGCAGATGAGGACCGAGATGGTGCGGTGGTGTGTGAAGCGCGGTGCCTGCTGCAGCTGGAACTCGGTCATCTTGACGGCGGCCTGCACCTCGGACCGGAAAAAGGCGGCGTGGCAGTCATCGGCCGACGGGCAGAACGAGTCGAGCATGGTGACGACGGCGTGTGGAACGTCGGCTGCCTCCTCGGCGAAGTACGCCCACGATCCTTTGAACTCGTACTCGGGATGGTAGGATTCGTGCCACGGCAGTTCGAGGCCAATAGACTCTTTGATCAAATACCGGGGTTCGCCTTGGAATGTATCAAGTTTCCGGCTGTGTAGTGGGGGATAAGTCAGCATCGTTGTCATGGCTGTCGAAAGCTTTGGTGGAAAAAAAAGGGAGTCTTGCACGACCGGCTCCCACACGTTCTCTTCAATGCTCTCCAGGCCCAACAGCCGCGTACGGAACCACCACAATATCAAACTCGCATAGTCGAGGGGCATAAAGCCCGATCGGTCAAAGGGTGTGAGATCCGTCCAACCGCTGTCATACTCAGAATAAGACTCCCAGTCCAGCACGTCCTGCGCTCCAGCGCGGCGCGCTGCGCACCAGATGCGTCGTCGGGATGCGGAGGCTGCCTGCAACAGGACATGTTGGGAAAATTTCGGTCGTGAGAGTCGAAAAAGAAGGGCAGCAGTTTACTGACGAGCTTCTTTGATACACCGTAGACGACGCTGGTTGCTGATTGATGTTGCTGATTGATGTTGCTGATTGATGTTGCTTTTGGATAACGTCGGGGTTGTTGGTGCTTGTTTTGCGTTTGTTGTTGAGCGCCAGGGGGGGGGGTTTTAAGCGGTGACGTTGGAGCAACGACAACACTATGACGACGCAGATTGAAAATCGGCACGTCAACTACACAAAACATATATACATTTGAATTGTACGGATTTCTGCCAAGCTAAATTCTGCCCAAATAGCCCATTTCGAGGTTGTTGCGCTCGCATAAACGGCCTTGTGTGATGGCGGAGCGACAAACACCCACGCGAATAAGCTGTGGGCGGTGATGACATGCGAACAAATTGTAGAAAGTCGACAGCAGCTAGTTATGCCCAATCAAGCCTATAATAATCTAATCTAGTCACGTTTCGTCAAGGGGTCATGTACGTCGAATCACAATCAATTCATCCAACTGTTTCATACATGGAAAAGTAAAAGGTCTGCCAAGTCGTTGGTAAATACAAATCGATACAACATATAAAAATGTCAAAAGGAACGCCCAGCCGCAAGGCCGTACAAGGAAAGGGGGGGAAAAAGAAAGAAAAAATAGGTCCATCATAGAAGGAAGAAGACAACTCAAAACTCGCCTGCCAAAATACATATAGCCCAAAAGAAAAAAACTATATATACACCCGATAAGAAATCTCAATGCAAAAGGATATAAAATGGCCCCGCCATCATGACGCGCGCAGAAGAAAGCTTGCCGCAGTGAAGCAAGACTGAATAAAAATAGTAGTAGTTGAAGAAGCAAAAACTGTTCCAAACCAAGTCATTTTCCGTAGCCGATATGGTTCCTCATATAGGCCTTCAACGCGTACCGCCGAGGGCGCTGATGCGCGCACCCGAGGGCCGGTGCAGCAGCGAGTCGCCGTGCTTGGCGACGACGCCCTGCTCGTTGCCACCGGCCGCGCTGTCGCTCCTCGTCTCCTCGTACTCTGCCTCCTCGTCGTCCTCGACAATCTTGGTGGGCACGTCCTCGCGCTGGTGTTGGTAGTACTGAGTGCTGTTGCGCTCAGGCGTCGTCGTCGCCGAGACAAACGACATGGCGGTGCTGCTGCGGTTAGGCACCAAGTCGGGCGTGGGCGGGATGCTCGAGGGACGCCCGGAGCGGCGGCGGAGTCGTTCCTCGCCCACCTCGGACGTGGCGGCTGAGTGCGTGTCGTCGTCGCTCTGCGCCGCGCTGGGCAGGTTGCTGTGGCGGCGCGACGAGGTTGGCGTCTCGGCGTCCTGGGCCATCTGGAGGCTCTCAACAGCCGCCTGGCACTGGTCGGCAATATTGCGGACAATGTGTGCAATGGCGTCCGTCTTGTCCTTGAGGTGCCGGTCCGCGACGTCGGCGAAGCTGGCGGCCGAGAGTCGCTTGGCGCTGCGGGACAGCCGTAGAGTCTGCGACTGTTCCTCCGTCATGCCCTCGGTGCTCTCGTCGTCCTCGCCGGGCACGTCATCGTAGTAGCCCTCCTCAATCTCCTTGACAAGCTCGTCCGGCTTGGTCAGCGACTGGATCAGGTGCTCCATGTGGTGGCTTTGGCCGCCAATCAGGCTGCGGAGGTGCAAAACGACACGCCGCGCTTCATCGCGCTGGCGCACGAGCGTGGTGCTGGTGTGCTGCAGCTGGGAAAGCTCCTTCTTGTTCTTCTTGCGCTCGCGCTCCAGCTCCTCGGCAATCTCCTGCTGAAGAACAAGGGCCTCGAGGGCATCGTCGCGCTGCTTCTCGGTGCCGCTAAGCCGCGTCGACGTGCGCGCATTTTCTTCCTTTTGCTGGTCGATGAGGCCAGCGAGGCGGCGGTTCTCACGCTTGTGAGTCTCAATCTTGACCTTGAGATCCTGCGTCTCCTTGGTAAGCTGCTCGGCAAAGGCCTGGAACTTGAGGAACTGTTGCTTCCAGCTCTCAAGCTCTTCCACGAGATAGTTGTTGCGCTTGTTGACCTTGTTGAGCTCCGTGTCCATGCGACCCTTGAGGTTGATAAAGTCCTGCCAAGCCTCTTGGGCATCACGAGAGTACTGGTTACGCTCTCGCACAATTTCGTTGAGGTGTCTCATGGAGACCTTGGTCATGAGCGGCTTCTTAACCGATCCACCAAAGACAGCCTTGATACCAGTGTTGCGGCCGAGCTTCTCACAGACGTGGTCCATGACAGCCATGACAGAATCTTGGTTCCACCACTCGGGTTCCTGGATAGACTCGACCTCGCCGCGCATAACAATAATCTGGCCGGCAGGAATGAGCTTACCGCCGCCGTATGCGGAGCGAAGATGGTGCGGTACACCGGCAGGGACAACGTCGCCGTTAAGCGCCTGGGTCAGGCGAGTCACGAACTTGTTGCGCTGGCCAGGAGTGAGAGCAGTAGGAGGGCTGGAGGTAAGAACAAAGTTCCGGTCCAGGTCAACGACAAGCGCGTCATTGGGTGCGTTGAAGAGCGAGCGACATTCAGCGGTGACACCGAGGATATAAGGACCTGGTTCTTGGACAAGCTCACTGGCATGGCGGGCATGGACAACAGGAACGTATAGACCGCTCCACTCGTATACTCGCACACAGTATCGGACAGTTTCGGCGGCAACGGTGAGCATAGCAGGGTAGTGGCTGACAAAGATGATGCGGCGTGTAGGGGAAATCGCAGCCTCCATGACACCGACAATGTTGGGAATGGACAGGCAGTTGAAGAGCGGCCACATGGCGAAGTTCTGGAATCCGGTGGGCGAGGAAGGGAACTGGTAGCAGAGCGCATAATCCTTCATGTCAATTCGGACAAGATCGTTGAGTCGGGGCGCGGGGAAGCTGAGAATGCGGGAGACTTCCTCAGCATGGAAGAGGTTGGTCGCCTTGTTCCAGTGAATCCACATGCCACGAAGGTAATCGCCTAGTAGATTGTACAGAGGGTATCGGGAGAGGAATGAGAGACAGTATGGAATCCAGTACGTCTCATCCGGGTTGTCGTAGAAGTCGGTTTCTGTTCGCTTGCGCAGGTCACGGATAGTCTCGGCTCGCTTCTCGTCAGCGCGGGACCACACCCGCAGGCAAATACCGTAAAGAGTCTGTGACGAGTCCTGCTGTAGGACGAAGGAGTGGTGAGAGCAGTGAGGCTGGCTACGGCCGGTGCAGATCTCGACATCGTGGGGGAAACAGGCCTAAACGGATGTTAGCGAGTTGTAGCCAAATTTCCAGTCGCATAGGACGAACCCTCATAGCGGCGTGGAGAGCTCTGGCAATCTCATTATCCTGTTCCAGGCGAGGACTGCTGCCCAAAATCTCGGGCAGCCAGAACTGGCTGACAGCGCCCTTCATGTGGCCAATCTTGCCCTGGACAGGCGCGGGGGCCCTGACCCATTGCGACGGCTCGCGGCCAACACCGCAGACGAGATAGGCATGCGTGAGAGTCTTGGGGGTGCGCTGCTGGGGCTTGGCATTGAAGCTCGAAGGAATTGGCTGGGTGATGCGCGAGTGCAGCGACGAGGTTCGGCTCGGGATGAGCATGGTGTCGGCAGCTTGGTCGCGGGTTAGCGGGCGGCCTTCGCGCTCGCCGGTGCGCGGGCGCGTGAAGCTAGGGTGAGCGCTGAGAGACGGAGGCATGGTAAGTGAGGAAAGCGCTGCTTCGCTCCAGACTTTGGATGCTAGACTGGTCGTAGAGTCGTAGTTGAAAGAAACTGGAAACACGATTGACACCAGTTTGTTTTCCGGCCATTTGACGCCTAGGTGGGAGAGACAAATGAGCAAAAGGGCGAGCGGCGGTGGCACGGTTGATATTACATGCGGCAAGGAGTGGACGGACCAGGGGGCCAACAAGACGACAATGCCGTGACGGTGGCACCGCCTACATACATGGAATATGATTACAGGCCACAGCACAGCAACTGTAGGCGGAAGAATCAGTCCAATAGGCGGCCGTCACATCAATGATCAGGGGCCTTGCTTCGCAGGGGCATGGCCCGCCTGAAGTCATGACTAGCCTTTGGAGCGGCAGGGAGAAGAGAGGACTACCACAAGGAGGCGGCCCCCAGGACACACTCCCGCAAGGTACTAGCCAGCGCCACACACCACACTTCCTCGCAGGATAGGTGAGGATTTGCGGTCCGTACCAGCAGCCAGAGTGGTGGAGCCGACAGGCCAGCTTGCAAATCATCGTTTCAGCCCATGGGTTACCCCTGTTGCCGTTGCCTTTCCTTTCGCAGCCCCAGCATTCATCACGAACAGAGTTCTGATCGAGCCCCCTACATAGGCAGCCAGCTGCTGCTGAAGGGGCCGAGGGGGGAAAAAAGGAGAACGAGCAAAGCTGGCAGCTGCCTCGACTTTGTTACAATGCTCACTGTCCTAGCACCAGGCCGCTAGAGTCACTGTTGGAGGCGCGTGTGGCGCCGCGCAGGGACCCCCTGAAAAGAGACCAAATTGAACTCCACGGGTCTTGAATCCAGCCAGTCGCTCATCAGCAGGGCGTTGGACAAAGGAAATTGTTCGTCAATGTCCGTCAAACCGGTCGGTGGAGAAGGCGGACGAACAGACGGAAGCCCTGCTAAGACACATCAGCAAAAGCAAAAAGTAACAGGCTCTCTCCACACTGGGAGAGAAGATGGAAGCATGAAGGAGAGAAAATGGCAGTGGTGCAAAAGAAAGCATATGTAGCTAGGTACCTACCTAATAAGGTACTGAGTAACTAGTTACGGTGTGGGCTGATGTCTTGACCCGACCAATGGCTTTTCTTGTTCCAGCCTCAGCCGAGTTTTTGTTTCTTTTCGTTCTTCTTCCGCTACGGATAGATTGCAATTTGATCGTTCGGGCGATGATATCCATGAACAGCTAGCTGGTGATGGTGAAGCTTGTCCGTTTGCCAGTCTGTCTCTGCCGGCTGCCGCCGCCTTACTAATAAGGAGGCAGCAGCTGGCAGACAAGGCGGAAAGGTCCACGAGCCAGCAATTTGTGCCTGCATCAACTCGCAGATAGCGGGCGAAAAGCCATGCGCAATATATTCAAAACTCATGTCATCTGCAGCTCATCAGCGATACGCGCCGTGCACTCACGCTGCACGATGAAAAAGCTTATTCAAAACATTCTCACTACAGGGTGAGGGAAGGCGTTGGTCCTGCTGCTGTTTGGAGGACGTAGCCATCTCTGCCAAGGCCAATATTGAACGCACTACGGAGTACCTACCGTTGCAGTACTGACGACCTTGTCGTGGACTACACTTTATTACTTGATAATGCAGGGAATGGCAAGTGCTAACGAATTGCGTGCCCGCAGCTTGTTAGTCCATACGATCTAGTTAACACAAGAGGTGCTCTTCGGGTCTCGGCTTTCACCACTCAGTCGTTCTGCACAACACAAATTAGCCGTTTCGACGTGCAGAATTGGTGTGTTTTGGGATGGCGCCACGGGCAACAGCCAGTGTATCAAGACAGACACTTTGCCACACCACAACCACTCGGTACTAGACAATGAATTCGCCAGCAAGGGCAAGCACCAGGCAGACAATGCATTGCCTTGCGATCAAATCTACTCTGGTTACGGAGACAACAAGGCCGGCGCACTATTCTCCGGACTGGAAAGTACGGCTCATAGTTGGCCGTCAGCAACTTTGAAGCGCAGCGTCGCAACTTCAGAACTATCATCGTGCTGGCCTGGCCCCTGGACCGGGGGGTAAGAGATGACTAGCGCCCCCTCGATCCCAGCATGGCTCCGTCGCTAGTAGTTTCGCTACCTTGCCATGTGCCGCTGGTACGGGCCGGTTCGTTTCAAGCCGGCGCATGTTATTAACTACTACTAATAATACACAGTCTCTCATATCGACAACGAGACGAAAGCCGTCCGCTGGGGTTTGGGCGGTCCAAGTGCCCTCTTGCAAACCACTGCGCCGGTACCGTGGGTACCGTGGCTTTGCTCCTGGTTGGAGGTCAAACCTAGTTAACGTTAACTAGTTAGAAAAAGGCATGCTTGTCCTGGCATCTCCGAGGCTGCAAAGGCTGTGCCTCTCGGCTGATGGCCCTCCATCACTTGCCGTCGCGCCTTGACCACCACACTCGCCTTTCCCACGCGCCAACTCCCATCTGGCCTCTCGAGAGCGACGATCACCTGCGAAGCAAAAGAAGAGGATGAAGGGGGCTGCCTGTCAACCTGGTCCTCGCATGATACGGCCGTACCCGCTGGGTCGCCCGTGTCCCGGCAGAAATCATGGCACAAAGGGTCCGAGCCCACCAGCCATTGGCACGCCAAGGCGGCAAGCCACCTTTGCCACCATTACCTTTACTCCTTCAACTACGGAGAAGAAGAAAGCAAGCTCTGTAATTTGCTTTTGACGTGCAGCAGTCACCCCGCTGCATGCATTAAAGAAGGCCGCCCCTCCGAAACAAAAAGGAACGAATCGAAAACTCGCCAGTGAACCAGCCCCTCCTCGCCTTCCCCCTTCTTCAGCAACCATTTTGAATAACCTGCCATGGGCTTTGCAACGTGAGCAATCTCGCTTACCTGCATGGTTTGTATTTAGTCTTCATTTATACGGCACGCGACGAGTCAGCTGTCTGTTTCTTCAGATCGACCAACTCAATCGAAACAATTGCCATCGCCTCGCTGGTGCACGTCGCAGACCTGCTGCGCCATGCGTGTTGCGTCCCCAGGCTGATCGGGTTTGCTTTTGCTTTTTTTCTCCGTCTCCTCCTTCTGTCAGTGTCCCGTCACAGACTTTTATTGTTTTGTCCGTCTTAAGTCAGCTTTAAATGCATGGCATTGTCCAATCAACCATCGTGCCAAGGCAATTTACTTCTTCTTCTTCTCCCATGTCACCCAAGGGATGAACGGTGGCAAGCGTAGGACCATTTGCATCAAACTCCCCAACTCCCTCGTGTTTTGGATCCGGCTGGTGGGCAGATAACCCATTGACCACTTCACTTCCTTTTCTAAGAGCTCGGGGTAGTGATTCTTGATGCAAGACACTCCAACGACACGGGTGGCAACTTGCTGCTAGGAACCAAACAAAGTAGATAGAGTTGGTCGCGCATTGATTCATGAACCTTGCGTGTGTGTGTGGTGTCCGATCTGTCGCGTGTGGCGAGACTTTTGGAGACGTTCCATCAGTCCTTGTCAAATTTCTTGTTTATTGGCAAGCTGCGCATGCAAACGCAGACTTTTTTTTTCCCTCGCAGCCTTTTCGAGCCCCCTTTCTTTCTTAACTGACGCGGCTATGCAATGGAGGCAAGGAGGCTGAACTTGACGAATATTTTCACACTGCATTACTTACTTGCATCGACCGACTATTAGTCCCGCATATGCGGGTAGTGAATCCCAACTCACCGCTTCCTACAAAGTACTCGAAGCGAACTCGTATGATGTGGCCGCTTTGTTTTCTCAATGGACCTATTCAATGACGCGGTGAGATTCCTGTTCCTGTTTACACGTGTGGCCTCTATCTGGTCGTCGTGTTAGATGCCCACTACCTCCGTCCACTCAACCAGCCACCGACAACTTATTGACGTCAGGCTCGCCGCCTGTGCCGAGTTTTCACTTGGAAATGGCTAGGCTGCGCATTTATTGTAGTCTTTGCGTATAAAATGAAAATAGGCGCGGCTAGCGGCACATGGTTGCATTCCCTCACCGATACTGCTCCTGCTGAATATGCACTGATGGCAAGCCTTGACCGCCATCACCCATCACCCATCACCCTTTGAGACTTGTCTTGACTGTATTGCTCAATAGTCAAAGACACGAAAAAAAAAACACTTTTAGCAACTGTAGTACTTCCTGCGTGGTGGTTTTCTTTCACACGCAGTTTCCTCAGTTTCCCAGCGTTCCATTCTTCATACCCTGTAGACACGGGCCAGATCGTTTTACCATCCGCAAGCGTACACCCCACCCCAATAATAGCAGTCACAAATGCATTCGGCCTCTTGACACTTTTCAAGGCCAGTAAACACGACACCAAAGCCAATTGCCTGGGGCGAAAGTCACCCATCTCGTTTCGACCCTCCTGCAGCTGTTCTCTTTCCAGAGCAGAGGCTCTTAACGCGCTGTACCACGCGACCTGGGTTTTCATCTCACTTGAGGTGTAATCGTTCGTGCTTCTAGGTACCTAGCCTACTATGACATTGCTCCAACTTTTCACCTTGGTGTCCATGGCCTGCGCAACCTCGTGAGCGGCCTCGATGCCCTGCCTACACTGCTCCTCCATATATCCACGCGAACATGTAGATGACAATTTGCCTAGGGACTCAAACGGGCAGGCCATCTTGAGCGAACCGCCTTCCGCACCCAGTTTTGAGCAAACCCACCAACTATTGGCAACGCGCAAACGGCTGGAAGCGAAGAACCTTCCAGCTTCCGCTGTGGGGGGCCGCCAACGATAAGCAGAGGAGCAACAACGCGGCTCTCGCGGCAGAGGAACAAAAAAGACAAAGAATAGAGAAAGATTATGTAGGACATTGTCGCCCGCCGTGTCAACCGGAGCGGACGAGGCAAATTTTGCTACTTGTGATTCAATCCTCACTCGGCTTGCCGGGGGTTCAATGCGTGACCGCCTCGACCTTTGTGTCCTAAATGAAGCTCAGCCAGGCGGTCGGTTCGGGAAAGAGAACGGCAAAGACGAGCAAGCACGCGGAACTTTTTTTTAAACATTTGTTCACTCCAGAGAGGCCGCGAGGTCCGACAAACAGCGCTAACAAGGATTGCGTCAAAAAGCCCAACATCACAAAACCTGGCTCAATTGCGAGGACGAGAAGAGAGAAACGGACAGGTCGTGACGGGCCCCGACAGTACCTACTCTTTAACCCATATCTGGACGAAGATCTGGGGGACATGACACACAAACACTTGAAAACTGCCAAATCACAGACCCTTTTCATCGGAAACTGAACAGTCAAGCTCAAGGAAAGGCATATCTCTTGAACAGATCTAGAGGCTGACGTACTATTGCACACAAATGGGCTTGCGTGGACAATGTGCTCTTGCTTCATCCCCAGAAAATCTAGACATGGATGCCATGGAAGTAGATCTTCAGCGCCCGGAATCCTCGATCAATGCGGAAAGTAACGATACTTGTCGAAGAAACTATAGTCTTGCAGCTCTTGCCAGGGTTGTCTTGCCAGGGCTACGAGGCGTGACAACACAGGTTTCTCTCTTCCGGGCCATTGCGAAACCAGCGCAGAGTTTTTCGACTGGTCAGGGGAGGCACTCCGTCGCCGGAAAGCAGAGCAGAAGTAACTTAAAGCACCAGACCATTGGCCTGAAAAAGCCTTGACCAGTCTCAACAACCAGTGCCCAGAACGCTGGCAAAAATAGACCTTGAAAAGCAGGGTTAGATGTGTTATTGGTTCATTGCAACTACGAAGCTTGCAACACGTGAGTGAAAAGTGACATCAGCCGAAAGTTGACATACGAGAGTCACAGAGGACAAGCGTTGAACACGTCGAAACGGCAAGAATGAAGAGCCGCCCCCCAAGTACTGTTGGTATTACCAAGCAGCGCATCCAGGCAACATCTCGTCGGAGAGGATGTACAAATGCAATAGCTGCATCCATGATCTAGTACCGAATTTCTGTAACTTGGGGGGCTTGTCTGTCCATCACCAAGAACGCTATGCGGACGAAAAGCCACCGCGCCCGTGCTGCTAATGAGTGGACAGTATAGAGATCTCAGGGACACCCTTCTGGCCTAACGAAGCAAGGATTTTGTGTGCCTCGTGGTAAGCATGAGTTGGCTTTGACTTGGCCAACGGACCCGGGGTATTGATCGTGGACCGCGGAGATCCTTCTCACTCAACCGATCCGTCTTGCAACTGCACATCGTTCCCAAGAGAGTTTTAGAACACCAGCTCTTGCACTGTGATCCTTGCCGAAAAGACATTCGCCAGACGGCTGGTCGAGACCATGTCCCGTCTTACTCGTAAGGGCTTGCTTGCACCAATCGGCTTCGGAGACACGATGGCATCCGGCCTGCGCTGCGCAAAACGCCATGCTATTGTCTCTATGCAGGTGTATATACATTCACGCCAATGGTGGAGATTTGCCAGGATATAAGCTGGCTCCTCTATGCGAGTTGAGGTGTCACGAAATGCAGGGGTCTTGTGCTCCCAAAACAAGTCTCCCGGTCATAGTGACACAAACATGCGGAGGGAGGAAGAGGAGGTGTGCCCGCGATATTGTCCAAGCACACGATAGCAAGGCTTGCAGATGGCGGAGCTAGCCACCGTGTGTGTCGTGGCGCTATAGGCAGAATAGGTCGGGGAGTTACATCGGGGAGATGCACCTGCTTGACCGAGGGCGGTATGCAGATGCACAATGTGCAGCAGTGCGGTCACAATGTGCAGCAGTGTGGTGTGCTCCCTCGGCCGTCTCTGGAAGCAGACGAGGGGAATTACCAGTAGTTGCTTATATCACCATCGTGTTCTCGCTTAGTTCTTTGCTGAGCATGGGCAGCTATCGTACCACCGACAGCGCTGGTGAGAAAGTAGTTCATCCGAGGTAACTCGCATCACAGATTGCTGTTGTCAGCCATACACATCCAGGCCAATGATGTCGACAAAGACATACAGGCTATATGATGCATCCGGCTGCGACAACAAGGTTAGAAGGGGGGGCAATGGAGGGGAACAGCGTTTCGAGGGATCTACCCGTTCGGCTGAGCAAAGTCGTTGCGATGGGCGAGAGAGGGAGGCGCCTATTGGACAATGGAGGCCAAGAGGAAAAGTTGATCTCGAGGCTTGCCACATGAAGAACAAGCCCTGATTTCGGAACCCTTGGACGAAAACGGCGCGTGCTATGACTGTTAACAGACCCCCCTCTGGATCATGGGTGTCGCAGATGGACATGGATCATCGCTGCGCTGACAACGAGGAACAGCCCACCATCCGACAGATCAGAGACAGAGCATGTGCCTCATGCCCCCTCTCCCTCGAGTCAATCTAACAAAATATGAGCAAAATGGTTTGAACCGATACTTTCCAGTCTTTGAGTTTTCCTGTGACAGACAACATCTGACGACAGGGTTCGGCGATTGTGACATGTGAAGGTGGATGAATGTACCGGGGTCATAATCCACAATAAATTAGGTGAGCCCGATTTAGACTTGCCAGACGAGGCGAAATTGATGGATCCGGCTGCGCGAGCGACGAATAGACGGCATCAAAATTTTGAGGCCTGACTGTGAACCTGGTTTGCTCGAATTCAGGTCGCTGGCAAGGGAGGCCGTTGTCTGACCGGGGGAGGGAGGATCCAGTTCGCCGAGCATGCCATCCGATGTCACTCGTGACTCAACTATCGCCCAGCCTTTTTGAGCACAGTGCAAAAAAAAAAGAAAAAAGCAAAAAAACAAAAACAAAAACAGACCATGCCCGCTCGCAATGCGTGGTGGCTAGGAACGGAGTTTCTCCCCTTGGCGCTTTTTGGTATTACCTTGTTGGAACGTAGGTTGGACCCAGCTTTCCTGGATAATCTGTAGGTCCTTTCTGCGAGCCGATGCCATCTTGGCGCCAGCGGGCTTTGGGCGGGTGGCGTTCTTCAAAACGAATAGGCTGATGAATGCGCAGAAAAAGGCTCATGCTCGTGAACGTAATTAACGTCCCCGAAGGAGGCGGGCTTGCGGCTATCCAGTTCGGCGACCGGCGCTCAGGCCCAACGCGGGATAGGCGTGGCGGTAGTGGCTTTGCCTTCGGGCATGTTTTACTCATGATGGCAATGTGGTGAGCAATTTCGCCATGTTGAAAGGGCTGGCATGAAATGCTAGCGTTGCCTCTCCGGCTGCTTTTCGTAAACAGAGTTTGTGCTAACATCTGCGAGATGGAGTTTACCTGGGGTTCCCGAATGCAACACGGGTAGTCGATTTCGCTGAGTTGTGTCGAAATACGAACTGAATTAGCTTTGATCTGACAGCGGTGACGTGAGTCAAGGTTCAAACAAGTCTAGGTGTAGGCTGCAGCAAGAGATAGGCGGCAGTTGGCAGGTGGTGGTGCGGCTGGTATGGTGTTATCTGCAGACATGGAGACACGCCCCCGACTGAGATGGCTTGGCTCTTCTTATCGCTCCCAATAAGCCACAGACTAGACAGAGGTATGAGGTCGTAAATTTGGCGCAAGTCACTGTATCAGCACAGCAGTAGTTCGGTTGATTGTCCACTTCGACACTCAATTGAGCAGGCCGGCGGAGCTGTTATCGCAGGAATGCTGTCTGCAACACGGCAGATGATTCATGCCTATGATATGATACGCACGGTGAGCTGTGCGGCGCATCCCAGAACAGGTCGTGCATATACCAGTCCGTGATTTGGGGCTATAACGTAGCACTGTAGCAGTAACTAGTATGCGTTATCCCTGATAGGATGCATATGTGCTGCTGTGTACTGATGCTCGCGTCACCTTGTCTCGAGCAATTGTCCGACAATTTCTCGTGCGGAATAAGGCTCCCCCATCGATATCGTCACAACAGGGCCGTTCAGGGCGTGGCGTATGCAGACAAAGGTGCCAAGTTGGCCCCTCCCATCCAAGAGCAACGGAGCAGCACGTATCGTGGCCGCAGCGGTTGGCGGAGGAGAGAGCGCGGGCACGGCAACAGGGAGTTGGCAGATTGTGACAGATGGTGGATCCGAGCGCCGGAAAAAGGAGCCTGCAAGAGTGAAAACTAGTTATCGAGACTCGAGTTTTTAGCTTGGCTTGGCTGTGCGACATACTAGCGTCCAGGTATGGAGCGTAGCGTTGGAAGTAGATTAGATGTTTGGATGAATCAGAGCAAGTTGGTGGCGGAGAGCAAGGTGGGCGAGGCTTTTCACATGCCAGAATCGCAAGTGTGGGCAAGAATGGTGTGGATGGGGGGCAGGCCAATGAGATGCCTGGATTGGCCCACCAGTTGCGCGGCCGCGAGCCAGCAAAGCAAGCAAACGGGAAGCTGCCAGCTGGCGGTGCGTTTGCCGTGTTGTGTTTCCAGATGCGAGCTGTGAGCTGCCAGAGGCAAGGGAAACCGTGATGGGATATGAGGGGAGAGAATTCCCTCTCTGCTCTAGAAAAGGGAGAATTTATCGACTTTATTTCAGTTCAATTTCCCTTGACTTGACCAATTTTTTTTTTGCTGTAACAAGGGCGCTGGTGCTGCTTGCAAGGGTGGCCACAATCACATGCGTGGCGCCCACCAAGACGTAAACCCCTGCACTAAATCAAGAAACGGACTTGCGTATCGACGAGTTCAGAAGTAGATAAAGTCCTGCCACACGCATCTCTTCTCCCTCTGCGACCCTCTTTTGCTTTCTCTTCTTCTGCTTTATCCAATATTGCCTGAATACAAAGGAATCGCTCTTGATCCTACTCTTATCCCAACGATAACCCTTTAACCACCACAACCACCACCCCACCACACTCCACCGCAATGGCTGTCGCTCAGGTCAACGGCAACATCGAGGGCTCTGCTGCCCCTCAATCTGCTTTCCTCCAGGTACGTGCCCAAACACAACCGCCACCCATCGCGCCCTCATCGCCAACTGACAAAAATATCAGCACCTCCTCAACTATCCCCTCATCTCCGACAGCGTCAACACCGTCTCCAGCACCGTGCATTCCAACAGCTACGCCCAGCGCTCCCTCAAGCTTGGTGACTCGGCCTATAAGACCTTTGCCGCGCCCTTCCTGCCCTACTTCTCCAAACCCTACCAGTACGTCTCGCCGTACGTGCAGCGCGCCGACTCCCTCGGCGACAAGACCCTTGCCCGCATCGACGAGACCTTCCCCATCGTCAAGAAGCCCACTGCCGAGCTCTACAGCGACGCCAAGGCTCTCGTCTTCCTGCCCTACAACAAGGGCCTCGAGGGCCGCGACCACGTCTTCGAAGTCTACAACGCCGAGGCGAAGAAGCAGGCTGAGAAGGGCTACCTGGGACAGGGCAAGGCCGCCGTCGCCACCTTGTTCCAGGTCAGCAACGAGACGCTCGCTTTCGCCAGCAGCTACGTCGCTGTCAAGAAGGCCGAAGTCACCCAGGAGGTTAAGGAGAAGATCAACCAGTAATTCACCTGCAATGCCATACCCCTTTCTTCTTCTCCGTGTGCATCATCGCCAGCTGTGGCAACCTCTGGGTTTCTGTTTGGGCGTTTTTATGACTTTTTGCCTGATGGAATGCAACACCATGTCGAGACCTCGTCGCTCCCTGCATGGACTCATCGCATCATGGCGCTTTGGTCTGGGATAACATGTTTGTTTGTTTCACTATCTTACCCCCTCCTTTTGCTGTTTAAAACCTTTGGTTTCATTGGGCATACAGTGCTTGCCGGTTGTTGATTGGTACCCGTCTTTCTGTTGTGGCTACCCTCTTTTGCAGCTGCCGCTTGTCTGCAACAAACTCTGGTCTTTGGCTGGCGCGGTCTGGAAAACATGACTTCTTGGCTCGAAAACAGGCGCACAACGCATTCGGTCTATTTGTTCTTACTGTTTTCAAATTGCATGAAATGGCGATGACTTGGATGACGCAATAAAAGCGAGTTACCAATTGGACGTGTTTTTCCATCTTTAATAGACTATCTTCATCCCATCTTCATCCACCATGTTCTCAAACCTATCTTGTGACTGCTCTCAGTCCTCGTTGGTAACCGCTTTTGTGACTGTACTCAACACATGGGCATGTGAAATGGCATAAGCAGCTCAAGCATCAGCGACCCGTTGCCTCTGGTCTGTGCTTACAGCAGTCCATTACGCCGTTGCAACTATTTTTTCCCTCTGGACATGTGAAAACGTTTTAGTTCCCGCCGTCCCTGATTTTTTTCCATTACGAGCCTTGGCTGGATCCCTAGCGCACCCGCGCCGCCCCGAATTCTTGGTTCACAGGTATCGGGACAACCGATCCTTAGCGCCTTTTTGTCTCCGAGGCGCGCGCTCAAGTCGCCGACTACTCTGTTTTTTTTCTCGCCACCCCGAGCCGAGGCGACATTTCAAAGAAGAAAAAATTCAGCTACTGCACATGAAAATCATGATAACAAGTGATGGCGCTAGATAATTTTGCATGATGAGTTTGGGTACAGTGGGAGCATTGCAACGGCGCTACCGCAACTTGGTGTTGCGAGTTATCTGTTTAGCGATACCAGGACGGCGACTATTAATATATAATATAGATGGGCTTGCGAAGCTGAACCATAGAAAACGAAACGCACATATAGTTATGTCACCGCTCTGCTATCAACAAACGTTAGCTTGTAGTTCTGATTCGTGGCACCACAAACAACAATAGATCGGAGAGCGGCATTATTATAGTCATGTAAAATTACACACACACACACATATATATATATTAGACTGTACCAGTAATACAAGCAGCAGTGCGTCCAAGGTATAATTGCTCTTTGTTTACCCCCGCAATCTAAAACGCAGGCCCGTCCTGTCGGTTCATGAGGAAGCCGTGCGGATCATAAGCTGACTGAATAGCCATCAGTCGCGCACGGTTCTGCTCGCCGTAGCTTTGCAGCACGGGTTGCGAGCTCAAGGCATCATTCATAAATATGGGGTTGTAGCTGAAGAAGAAGAAAAGTCAGTCAACCGTATCAAGTGCAAGGGTAATACGGCTATGCTTACCTGAGGGTTTCCAAGTCGCCGCTCTGGTAGTTGGTCGGGTAAATCCCCGAATACTTTTCCACATGCAGGTCGTGCGCCTCCTGCACCATGCTCTTGAGCCACTGCGTGCAGAGCACGTCGCAGAGGGGATTTGCCCACGCGATGTCGTACTCGATCCAGACGCGGTCGCCGTGGTCCGGGTTGATGCCGAGCGCGTTGCCGCCGTTGCGGTCGCGGGACGCCTGCGCGATGCCGCGCGGCATCGGCTGCACGGCAAAGCTGACAATCTTGAAGTCGAGCGGCTCCTTGAGCGCGGCCTCGACGGAGCGCCGCTTGACCAGGTCGTAGTGGTCGTTGAGAAAGGCCGTCATGTTGGCGCCCGGCATGGCGGGGAACGAGTTGACGCCGATGCGGAAGCGCAGGCCCTTCATGTCGCCGGCGAGAAGCTCCTCGGCCATTGTCACAAACGTGCGCACCTTTGTGCTGTCGCTCAGCGGCCGGACCGCGTCGAACGCGTCAAAGATGCCCGCGGGCACGACCACGCCGTCGTAGAAGAAGGCGACGATGACCACAGGCACGCTGAGCGCGAGCACGCCGGCAAAGTCAAACGTCGGGATGATGGCCGCCTTGGGGTCCGTGTTCTCGGATGTGAAGCGCGCGACGGCCGCGATGATCGCCGCGCGCTTGTCCTCGGTGTATATCCGCACGCCGCCCCAGACCTGCCCGCCGACACCGGACTCGAACACCTCCATGGTGATCTTGGTCACGACGGCGTAGCGGTTGCCGCCGCCGCACAGCGCAAAGAACAGGTCCGGGTTCGACGTGGCGTTGGCGTGCGCGACGGTGCCGTTGGCGAGGACCGTCTCGAAGTTGAGGACATTGTCGCAGGCGAATCCCTGTGAGCAAAGAAACCAATCATGTGAGCAAAACAAAGTCCCTCATATGGGAAAAGAAGTGCGTTTTATCTTGCAACTGCCACCACTTACATGCTGAGCCGAGAGATAGGAAAGCCCGCCGCCGAGGAGCAGACCCGTGGTGCCGACATCGCCGAGGCGGCCGCCCGTGACCGTCTTGCCGAGCGGCTGCAGCACGCCGTACACGTCCTCCCACTTACACCCGGCGCCAATGACGACCGTCTTGCCGTCGGCGGCCGGCTGCGCGGTCTGGAAGTTGGGCCGGAACGCGACGAGCACGCCGCCGCTGACGCTCGACCAGCCGAGGTTGGGGTTGTGCCCGCCGGCCTTGAGCGCGAAGCGGACCGACTCGTACCTGTTGAGCGTCTGCACCGCAAAGGCGACCTCGTCCGTCGTCGCGGGGAAGAAGGCGCAGGCGGCGCGGTTCAGGCTGCTCGCGGCGTTCCAGTAGTCGAGGTTGGCCGAGTTGTACGCGCTGGAGCGGCCGAGCGTGGTGATGCCGTACGGCCCGAGCGGATCCCACACGAGCTTGTCCGGATACCGGGCGCGGAGCGCGTCGCACACGGCCTTTGTGTCGCTGGTAGGCTTCAACGTGGCGTGGACGTTGGCGATGAGAAGGGCAAGGAGCGGCAGAATGGCCGCGAGGAGGCGTGTCATGGTCATCTACCGAGTGCTACTTGGGGGGGACGGT